ATATTCACCAATGTCGAATAAATGATGATTCTTTAATAAATTATTTTGAATGCGTCATGGAAATGTAATATAAACCTTTTTCATGATGAAAAAAGAATCATTAACACTCATTAAATATATTAGTAATTACAATGATACGGAAGAAAACACAAAATGAATGCAGTTCGAGTTGGGTATTGGAACGCGATGGAGGCGTGCATCCACATCCCTTTGACCTAAATAAAACAGTAAATAAATAACAATTAATTAAAGGATCTGTGCAATACAAACATTTGTCGCAAATAAATAGTGTTTATTAGATTTTATTGTAATTTACTAATGTTTTAACATTGACAGTAACATAAAATGAAAGTTAGAAACATTATCTAGGTAATGTTATCACAAAGAACCAATAAATCTTCAACAAATATTATGCGCGAACAGTGTCAATAAATCCCTACGCTGCGATTGTTGTGTTTTCATCTTAACTCAAGAAAAGTGTGCCATATCAGTTTAGAATTAAAAATGACTACAATCGAAGAAAAAAAATCAATCAGCCGACCGCGAGTTATTTTGTCTCAGGTAAGTTTTTGTTTTGATTTATACTTATAAATTATTAACGTTACCCGAAATTTAATTTTTAAGTTATACTTTCATTTTTTTAAATACCCAACAAAAAAAATGTTTCAATTTAAAATCGATAACAATAAGTAAGTAGATATAGTTATCATTTTACACCTTAAAAACTCTTTACAACCTACCTCAATTTAAAACAAAAATCGAATAAAAAGGTGTTCATAGTGGTGACCTTTATTGAATGAATATACAATTAACACTGGCCGGCAACAATAGTAACAATATCTTGACATAAAAAATAAAAATAATGAGGATCGTTTTTTGTTTTAATTAATAAATTTTAGGCAAATAAAATAAATGCATGAATGGATATTACAATGGCTTATATAATTTATTCAAAAAATTAGAATAGCAACAATCGGCACAATATTTCATTCATAATGAACAAAATTGGCGGGCATCCTGCGTCTCACGCCACGCAATGAGGTAACAATATTCAATTTATATGGCAATTTTATGATTGCTTCTCATATAACAGGCGTAGCATACATCCATTATAAATTTATTAGCCTGCAAGAGATGAACATCAATTTGAGGTCAGTGACATTTAGGCAACTCTGCACAACAACAGATTTTTAGTATTTATAGAACTAATTTGTCATACCTACTTTATCATAGTTATATTATAAAATGTGAAATTTTGTAGGAATGTATGAATGTTATTCTTGTAAAACGGATGGACCGATTCGGTTGAACACACACACGTGTTATCCATCACGCAGGCGAATAAATACAGCTTTAATGAAGACGAGAACTTTGTGTCCCGCCTCTTTTGCATCAGAGAGCTTGGAACCCGGCAATTACCAATCTGACTTTTCCTAACTTATACGCTCTATTGACAAACGCTAAAGGAAACCATCTTGAGGAAACCTGTAGTTATAAGGCACCGTGGCCTCTGTCTAGAACAGGTAAAAGAATGGATGGGTTTAAGTCACTAAGGTTCTGACACACCTCTCTAAAAAAGGTCATAAAGTAAGTGTTTTTGAAGTGGTAAAATCGTTCTTTAACTTCACCCTTGTGTCAGACTCTTACTTACTAAAAACCTCTACGTTCCTTCTGCTTCGGGTCAGCCGCGGTACGTCATTTCGCTTTGTCCGCAACTCCAGCCAATGGCATGTCACAATATGGCCAATTTGGCATCTATCAGTCAATAAATAATAGATGACAAATTGACCCAATGTTTTATAAATAAAAGAAAACAACGAACTCGTATTTTATCAAGGTGTAGGTAATTATTTCATACCTAGTATTGTATTTATTATTGTGCATTGGCAACTTATCACAAAATGTCATTTTTGTTATTATGTCAATCTGTTATTTGGCCTAGGGATGTATGAAAGTATAAAAAACTAATTACAAACTATCTTCTTGGTTGAGAGATAGCAAGTTCCAATCCCTTGCAAGTAGGTATATTATTGGGATTTATCGGTTTTTACGAATATTTCTCAATAGTACGTACCTACTTACCGCGGAGTATTGAACTGGGGCTAGCCTAAATGCCACTCGATGATTGAAGAATGAGCAAATTTTTGGATCACCCGGTAATCTATGGGTATTTTATCATAGCTGGTGAAAATAATGTGTATATTGTCTATGTGTCAATATATGCATTATGTCCCTACTCTTTCGAGGGTAACTGCCGCAGCGTTACACGGTACACATATTTTTTTAATTAGTCTTGTTTTTAAAATAATGATAGTAGTCAATCAAAGTTTCGATTTTTCTCAGTTATTACCTTCCAAAGCATTCATATCCCATCCTTATAGGGCTTTATAATGATCGATACAGGCACTAATAAAATTATGGTACACAAATATTTCACATTTGCGGAAGCTAAGAGACCGTCCTTTTTCATACAAGGAAGAATCGATCAAAAGGGATAATAGTTTGTAACTATTAGCTCATTCCTTCTAACTAACTTACACGCCTTTATTGGTCACGTTGACCATAAGCATAAACATTGACATAGAATACAAAATAAATGTTAGGGTTGTTTATTTTAAAAATTACGTGTTACTAAGTTTTTATCCATAGAACTATTTTTCTGGAGCTGGAGCAGGAGAGGGAACTAGGTAGATTTGAGTCAGTTACAGTCTGACTCAACCAGGACCGGAAAAGTCATTTGATGATTTTTTTACCTCAAAAAAGTCATATTATAAAATATTTTTTTAATTATTAAGTGACCAGTTAACAGCAAATAATAATATTTTTATGGACGTGTGTTTTATGTTCAATTTCCATGCAATTAGTGATCATAAAACTATTATCGTTAAAAACTTGTATGAATAAAGAACACAATCAATCGTGTGGTAATTGATAATGATAGGTTCCTAAAACATTTTTTATGCTTACTTTTTTTATTACTCACTCTCAATTATTTACACACTACCACTTTTGCTCAACCCTTGGGTGCCATAAGCCGGCTACATGTTTGAAAACAGACAAAATGAGGCAACAGCTATGTTTAATAATCCTAAACCTTTTAAACTGCGATCGCCAATCGTGGTCCGGGGTTGCGGATGCCAGTGCAATAACCGACATCAGCCCAGGAGAAGGAGAGAGCACGGGATGGTTTAATAATTATAGTCTGACAACTTTTACATTCAATTTATAACATTCTAAAATAAGAATTTGGTATAATAAATGCCATTCAAAAGGAATGTACTTAAAAACAACTATATTTTTATAACCGATCTCTTCTAACTTCAATAACATATAAATACCATCGAAATAATAAGCAGCATCTGGCAGCTAATAATAACTGAAATATAAAATAGGACATTAAAATAACTTATTTGGAATTTTAAATATTTTATTTGGAATTTTATATAGTAACACTAATACATTAAAAATATATATAATATAATATTAAACATACTTAACAATCTGTTTTATATTAATAGATTAGGTCAAATTTTTGGTTGCAAAATGTAGGAAAAAGACGAATTTTATGTTAATATTACTTTTAATTGAGAATCTTAAAAAAATGCTCAACATAATTCTCCAATTTGTCTCAGAATAAAGGTTGAATGTCTGAATTCAACTTCTAGGCATACCGTCACTCCTAATCTGAGTGTTGTTTTCAACAAGTTACTTTAATAATAATAAAGTTTTTATGACATGTAAGCAATTTAATGTTATAAAACTATAAACTTTAGGAAAATATTTTTTTCACACACAAAAACAAATGAATATTCATTCCTTTAACTCAATACTGCCTATAAAAACTATGTTTTAACCTATTTTTTTTTTAATTATGACGCACTCATAAAATTGCCTATACTCAATGGAATTTTTACTATGTTATGTAATGGAAAAGGTTTTAGAACCCACATCAATTGTACTTATTCGTTGTTCATCTTTTAATTCATCCTTTTAGACAGGGCATGTATCTTATTTCCAAAAGTTTGTGTCTTATATACCTAGAAACTAACAGCTTTTGTTAATATAATAACAAAAAATCGAAGTGTCTACCATGTATGTAAATTTAATAAATCCTGCTAATGCCTTATGAATGAAAATGAGTTGCATACAAATTTTAACGAGCGTGATTTATGTGCGCAATATTGTGTAATTAAACGTCAAACAGAATATACACACCAAATCTAGAAATTAGAATAGATTTTTAGATTACCTACTCTTTTTGTTTTATGTTAAGGGTCAAGAAGTTAATTAATAAAAATATCAATATGAATAATGCACCTATAGTATAGATATTATACATACTTCTTATATAATATGCTTTTTTATATAGACTTCTTCATTTATTCAACTATTCTCTTCCTATATAAACTAACATACGAAGATATCAATCGTTAGTTTTTAATTAATTGTGAAGATTTTGTCTGTGTCCAGCCTTTTTACCTGGTACCTAAGCCTTGAAAACCGGTTCCTAACATTTTATTTATCCTGAACCCCTTATCATACCTCACATTAAAATAGTTTTATTAAATACTATTTTTAATAATAAAAAACCGTGAAAATACCGGAACGATATAGAACGAATATGAAAGAAATATTTATACTGTATTTATTAGCCGTTTATATTCATTTATTGTAAAATAAAAATACAAATCACGTAAGGACTCGTTAGGAATTATAGATTTAAAGCATATATGTATTACGAATCATTAATTTATTATGTCATATAATAATAAAATGTAGAATTTTATATATTGCCTTAGTATTTTATTCAATTATTTTAAATACCTAACATCGAAATTGATTAAGCTCATTTAAGTTTGGTTTTTCACGTGCATTATGTGTCATAAGAGTCGGGGGAAACCATACATGCATTTCTTTGGTTTCTTCTATGTTCAATTTTAATTAAGGACTATTAAACCCCTAATTAAAGGCCTATAATCTAGATGTTCACTGTAAAAACAACCTATTATGTTTAACTATAAGGTTTCTTTTTCCATCGGCAGGTACTAGCATGTCTCGCATTAGACTTCTTACTGATTGGGCTGGGCCTGTCCATCAGTTTCGTGACAATGGTGTTACCTGAGGTGCTTGATGCTAAAGAAGGTCTTTCAATTACTAAGAAACAGGCGTCATGGTTTGGTAAGTGTATTTTTTAGTTTCTCTGTACTTATTAGCTTTATTACGTCTTCAGTCATATATCAACTTTTTGATCTATTGATTTAAAACTCTTCTACAAACCATTCACAGGATTAGTGACTTATCTCGCCAATCGACCAATTTCTTTTCTTATTAAATATTCTTTGTGAAGTATGAAAAAAACCCTAATGTAAGGTTTTCTACAATCATTCAAATCACAACCACATACGGGTTTTATCCCGTGTGGTGGGTGAATTTACAAACATAAACTTTAGCATGTACGTCATCGGGCACGCTGTTATTGCAGCGGTAAGACTTTAAGAAGTGGCTAGAGAGACCTATGGCGTCCTTACCTTCTGCCTGACGCAGGTGCTTACCGAGCGTGGCAGCTTCGGTAGGGTCCTGTTTCGAATCCGGTGAGGACCACCCCGAGGACATGGTGGAGCATACGGTGTGCTCTGCTTGGGCTGAGCACCGCCGTGTCCTCAGGGAAGTAATCGGCACCAGTGACCTCTCGCGCCCGGCCTTAGTCGAGGCCATGGTGCGTAGCGAGAGGAACTGAGAAGCCGTCTCCTATTTCTGTGAAGCAGTCATGCTAGCATAGAAGGAGGCGGAGCGCGTGGGCCTCACGCCCCAGCCGCCGCAGTAAGCGACATTTCGGGCGTCGGGGATAGAGAGACGATTTCCGGCCACCGCACCGTAAGTGCAGGTCTGCGGACGGCGAGTAAGGGTAGCTCGCCGCCCGACCAGAACCAGACTGAGTGAGAGGAACTGGGACGCCGTCTCCTCCTTTTGTGAAGCGGTCATGCTCGCAAAGAGAGAGGCGGCCCGCGTGAGGGAGCAATCCTCCTCCTCACGCCCCAGCAGCCGCAACTGGCGACACTACGGGCGTCGGGGATCGAGGGACGATCTCCGGCCACCGTAAGCACGGGCCTGCGGTCGGCGAGTAAGGGCAGCTCGCCGCCCGACCAGAACCAGGCCCGAGCGTACGGCGCGTAGCGTTCCGCGCGCGCCTCAAAGAGCCATTCGACCACCACAGACGGGGCCCTAAAGGGCTGATGTTCAGCCGGGGTTGCGGGGTAAGCGCAATGAGGTACCGCGACCTCGGCACAGAGCAGGAGAAGGAACAGGGGGGTTTTTAGTCAGTAAGAGTCTGACACTCCCTCCTGCCCGGTCCTGGGCGGGAGAAGTCATTTGATGATTTTCCCCTCACAAAAAAAGAAAAAAAAAAAAGACTCGAGAGTACGACGAGTAGCCTTCAGCGTGCGCCTCAAAGAGCCAATAGACCACCACAGTCGGGGCCCTACAGGGCTGATGTTTAGCCGAAGTTGTGGGGATAAACGCAATGTGGCTCCGCGGCCTCGACCGAAAACAGGAGAAAAAACGGGGGGGGGGGAGGGGTTAGTCAGTAAGAGTCTGACACTTCGCCTTACCCGGGGCGGGAGAATTTATTTGATAATTTTCCAAAAAAAAGCATTCACGTCATTCCCAGACCCGAAACAACAATTTGTTGATAACACAAAATGGCAATTGGGTATCTAAAACTGTTTATTTTATTAATGTATATTTAGAACAGCTGACAGATTAATATCAATAACAAAAAAACATAAAATGCCAGTAACAGGCTTCCACTCTTAAACTTATACAAAATGAATATTCATATTTTATAAACCCAGACTTGCCGTGATAAACTCCTCAAGTAGGTATATACAAAACATAATTTTGATTAAAAAAATCTGGCAAAAGGATTTAGTAGCTTTATGAAAATCAGTTTAATGATGAGAAAGCAAGCCACGAGCCAATAATGAGTTCATTTTATTGTTATTGTGGCTAATTTACCATTTTCATCTTCTCTATCCTGTAGTGTGGGCCACTCATGTTATTTGTTTTTGTTTGGAAAAATACTGTAACCTTTAACTTTTTCTAAACTGCATCACAGAATTTAAATGAAAAATAATTTATTATCATAATGTCTTATTTGCATCCTTGTCTATATTAGCTTTATCTTAAAGTTATTCTTGCATTGTTAATCTGTGTATTTTTTACAAATTAAACCATCTATATTTATAGAGATGATTTGAATTAAACAGTACCTACTAAACTTCTTAATGGCAAAACAGTTTTATTTACAATTTAGGATAAGTGTGGGAGAGCCATGCTTCAGCATGATTTGGCCGGCTCGATCGGAGTTCACACGGGCTCATAGAACACTAATGAAAAATCACGTAGGTACGTTGTGTTTTGCCGTATAAGTGCGGTTACCGGAGGCCTAATCCTTTCCCGTCTGCTATCCTCAGCCCCGAAATCCTCGGTTCTTTAACCCCGACCAACGCAAAAAAGGCTAGCAACGCACTTTTTGTAGAATACTGAATACTGTATGAACAAACGTGGCCTAATTAATGAAATTGGTCTCACTCAAATTTCGGAAAGTTTCTTAAGAAAAAGTTTGCTTGGTTTTGTTTTCATAACCATTTTTCTTCAAGTTCAACAGAAACCTTACAAATACTTTCCATAATGGTCCCATGAGTCTAACAATAAATTTACTTAAAGTAAACATAACTTTAACTAAGCAAAATATCAAAAACAAAAGATAGGTACTTTCCTACTTCACAAAAATATAACTAACTTAATAAAATTTTATAAAATGATACTTCAAATGTATAACACATGTCAAAATTAACTAAAAAAACTGCTTGTCTGCGTTTTACAAGTTGAAAATAGCTGAGTACGTTAACACAATTCTGAGCGGAAGAAAAGACACATAAGTATTGGTAGGTTGTTTTTTTAATAATTTCGCAACATTATTTTATGCGTGGTTAGCTGTAATAGAAGGCCGGGCTCTTGAGGTCAGTTACCGTCGCAAATGTAATTGCAAAAAACACCACATAATTAATTATATGTAAATTATAACTAGCTTAGTTCATTGAGGTACATATTTTCTTGTCTTTATTTAGAAGGCCATGTGTTTAGGCCCTGTATGCTTTGATAAATCTGTCAACAGGAATTAATTTTGGTTGATTAACAAAATAATTAGAGGTTGAATCAATTAAGCCTGCTTTTATTTTTAAAAGTTACAGTTATACATGCATTTACTAATAATAACCTGCTAGCAATTAAATTGATGAAACATGCGATTTCAAAATGTTTACAATTAGCTCACTTTTTGGTGTTCCCAACTTCATCGTCACCCTATATTTGAAGGAGGTTCGAAGTTCGAGCATTAATCACCACACTTGCAATCACGACTCAAGACGGATTGACGATTTCATACTGATAATTACAAATTATAAGTGCATTTACATCATGATATTTTTCTTGACTGTTTGTCAGTGGTGTCAAAATAAATTAACATATCAATAAAAAAAGTCACATTCCCCTTCCCTACTTAACCTACCTACCCTATACTATGTTTTTTTTTCTGATTCTAAACTATATTTCTAACAATTCTCAACGAAATCGATTCAGCCGTTTTTGAGTTATACATAGGTAGTGCAACTAACACGGCTTTCTTTTATACATAAACATCCACATACATACCTACATATACACTGAGAACGAGGGACTATATACTACTTATATATCATTGTTATACATATTCTGTATGTTAATATCTTTATTGGAATTTTATTCAACTTAAATTAAATTATATTCTTATCTTTTTTGGTGAATATATGTCCACGCCTTTTGTATAATGATTTAAAATAATAGGTATCTACCTAGTCGAATTTTATACCTATACGAATCGAACATATTATTATTTCGTGTTTTGAAAATAATTACGTATGCTCACTCAAACTCACTGAAAAATGGTGCGACTCAAAGCTTGCATTTGATTGTCTTTCGCCGCCCAATCCATCCGTTCATCCCCAATACCCAAATAAAAAAAAACTTACAAACTTACAACCTACTTATTTACAACAATTATAATAACATACAACACACTCCTTTGCCGATACCATTTGCCCATAAAAAATGAACACTTCTGACAAAACAGTAATTACACCAATACCTATTACTATTTCTTTATTGTACACATATGTAGATTAATATTTTTTATATAAAATATAACACCTTTTAAATAACATGGGCAATGGGCATTTGTATTTTGCCTTATAATCATCATATTACCTGCGACACATAATTTTCCCGCTCATGTCTAATCAGAATCAGATGTAACAATTGTTGTTTGAAATAAACCTCGACAAACATTTACGTAACAATGAATAATTCCTAGACATATCTTTTTCATAAATAAACTGAGTCTAACATAATATTGATTGAAGATTATTGTCGATAACCTAGATCATTGTATTCTTCGATGTTATATTACATATATATTTAGAAAATTATAAAATATATAAAAATGTACATGTGTACACAAAATGACGTTATCCTAATAGGTGATAAGATGCATTAGAAATGCTTATGTCTCGGCTATATAAATATTTAATGCATTTTTTATTAATTTAATTGGTTATGCAAATCTTGCTGCAACGAGTTCACGATAAGCGGCAAGAAAACAATCGAATCTTTACAATATGTTCTCTAAATTACGTATTTGTTACGTATGTAGGTACCTAATGTGTATAATTTATTATAAAGTTTCAAATATTTTTTGTTATAATTTCTTAATGAGTCAAATTAATAATCCATTTTTTTTTGGTGGTGATTATGTCAACAAGTTATGAAGACACATTAAATTATCTCTCAATTTATGCAACATAATAATATGTATAACAACCCAATGAGGTCTAATAAATTCATCCCCACTTCCTAATTTGGCATTAAACTTTTCTACTGTGTTTATAAACATAAGTTGCACATGTAAAAAATATTTTTTAAAAGAACCTATTCTTCTTCCACAGGCAGCATGGCGTTTCTCTGCCAACCACTGGGCAGCATATTCTCAGGACCACTACTGGACCACTTTGGTCGCAAGAAGGCGTTGTTCCTGGTCAACATACCACACGTGGTCGCCTGGCTACTAATGTATTACGCGTGGGATGTGCCTTCCCTCTTTATTGGAAATGCCCTGCTCGGTATAGGAACTGGAATCATGGAAGCGCCATCTGTTACATACGTTGGTGAGATAAGGTGAGAAAGTAATTAATTACATAACTTTTATTCCATTAAGACGGTGTCGTTAAATGTCAGGTAGACGTAAATTTATTGACATTTCTCTTTAAGATAAGAGACCAGCGAAGTATCAAAATTAAGTAGAATTTTGTGGATCTAAAGTATTTTATCAGAGAGACTTGTACATTAGCAAAATATAGAAATATCACTTAAAAAAACTTCTGAAAAAAAATAATTCGTCCTTTTTACCTTTTTACCTTTCAAAATATTAACTAGGTACTAGCTACTCTTGCGCGGTTTTACTTGTTCGGCTCTATTTGATCGAGCTTGATGTTTATAAAACACAATGTTCTTGAGTGCCCATTGTAGCATCTGTAGCTATCTATCAGTGAAAGAAAGAAATCCGACCAGCGGTGCCAAAGATTACCCCCTACATACAAACCTACAAACTTACAAATTTCACCTCTTTATAATATTAGTATAGATAATTAAAATCAAAAGTATATCAGATTTGCTTCTGAGAAATAATAATTGATAAAAAAAGAAATAAAAGGAATGAAAATTTCGCATAATGCAAATTTTAAACTTAATAACCAATATAACATTAATTGATTAATAAATGCAATGCACTTATAAATAAGTACTAAAACATGTTAATATACAATTTGTATTCAAAGATAACAGATAAGTTGCAATATTATTATTTTGTGATTTTTCGAAATAATCATCGAATTATTGGATCACCAAATATACATAAATATTTCCAGACAACATGAATAAAGAGCAAGGCTGCAAGATATTGATAAAATCTATTTTATTAAGAATAATTTAGTAGATAAATTACTGATAACTGAAACATATTCAGTTACATCTTTAAATAAGTTGATTGTTATCTTAGATAAGCAATGTATCTTTAATAGATAATAAAATATTATTATATATCTCATATATTCTGCACAAAAAATGCAATTACGTGTTCTTTATCATCTTTATTATATTCTTAAAATATGCTTATATTTATAGATGAAATCGCGTATAATATTTTTTAATTATATTTTTATGAATATATAACTGGCCAGGATTTTATTGTATGACTATTTAATAAATAACATTATATATTATGTTTACTGTGTATTTCTGTACTAAGAAGTCTCTTAAATTAAAATTTTGTTTTAGTAAAGATTGGTAAAGAAATGCCACTAGCAAACCAATATAATTTAGACAAATTTATCGGTAGTCGCGTAGAAATTCAAGCCCAGAAAGATCATTAAAAAGGCACATAACCATAAATAAATTTTAATCTTTTACATCTAACTTGAAGCTTCACGTCGGCCATTTTGGTAGAAGGCTAATTCAGAATACATTAGTAGGTACTAGACGGTATGGGGCCAAAATCCTAATATTATGCCTAAAAAAATATGTTAAATTTTGAATTCTTAATAAGAAAATACCATCAATCTTTTTGTTGTAGCTTTTTATATACGACAAATAATGCTGACATTCGCATTGCTTCCTACGTAACGAAGCAGGATCCACAAACTACGATATTGATGTAGGTTTTTAATAATATTTAAAATGTTAGTTTACTGCACGTGTAGCTATTGAATATGGATAATGCATTTTGTTTGTCAATTTGAACACTTTAGAGATGTATTTGTTTTTCTATTTATTTGCATGCACAGTAAGTCAGATAGGATCACTTAGGCTGTATCTACCATTCGAGCCTTGGTTCTTAAAACCGAGTATTAAATATGTCGCACTGTCCATGGAAGATTTTCCTTCATGTTTATGGCAACAATCTATGAAGTTTCAACAATTGCACAGTTAGATGTGAACCTCCAAATTGTAGCACCATACTTTAATCCTAATATTCACGATAAAACCTTGATGAAATTCCAGTGATCCATCAGTGCGAGGAATCCTAACAACTCTTACGAATGGGTTCACATCGACGGGTATGTTCGTGGCGTACCTGCTCGGCACAGTACTGCCGTGGAGACAGGCCGCTCTAGTGGCTCTCACTGTACCACTGACCACCATGGTGCTCGTGCTCTTTGTAAGTACAATATCTAGAATATTCTTTTATCATATTGCTTAACATTAGCTGCATAGATTTTACATTAGCAAGACGGAATAAGTTTAAGCGTGTACGTGAGGCGTAGGTTCACTTTCAACATCAAAATGTCCAACTTGGTACCTACTCATAGATATTATTTAATATGAATTGAGAAAGACCGACCGACACAAACATAAAATTGTTAGAAAGAACTCGATTAATTAATATTTGGAAGATGTACTTAGGTAACTAAAATCGATTCAGTAGATTTTGTGTATGATTTTTGACTTGCAAGTTCCTCCAAGAAGTTCCTCTTTAAAAAAACTCTAAATCTCGACACACCCAATAATTTTAACGAGGATGACTAAGCATCAATTAAAGCTACCAATGAAACATACTTACGACCAAATTATGTTTTTGAAAAGCTGCCATACCCTATAATGTAGGTATATTATACAGTGGGCTCTTTAATATTAATGTGTAAATATGTTGTAAAACTTGTTGTTTATTAATTTTTATTAGAGGTTCTAGTTGCCGCCTCTAAATTAGAGGTAAAGATTTCGCTAGTAGAATAAATTACACTTTTAGCAGCAACATTTGGCTCTTGTTATGTCGTAGACTAACTAAGATATTCTATATATATGTTTTCCTGAGTAAATAATAAGTATGGTAGTCCAGATTAATAAATTTACAATTACTCAAGCGCAATAGGGACCTACCGGATTTCGAAGATTTTGTGGTGGAAAGAAAAAATATACTCTCCAAAATTGTTAAGCGTAACTTTTGTTTTAGTGCTCGAGCGTGACAGTATTATGTATACATATGTATACGCTCTATGTCCGACCACTGTTGTTTTAACAAAAGTTAAAGTCAGTCAGTCAGTCAAACAGTTAACTGTAATCTACAGTCACTTCATTTGACAAAACTGATTGTACATAAATAATAGTTCTTTACACGAAGTATAGGTATGATACGTATTTTCAACAGGATATTTCCCGGATAGGATATAGTTAGGTAGGGGAGCCCAAAAAGGGATATCCTTCTTGGGCTCCCCTACCTACTATTACACCCTTAATATTATAATATGATTATATTCAATTAATACTAAAGTAGGTGTAAAAAATACATCTCATAGAGAGTTATTTTTATATTTCACTAATAGACACCATATTATGTATGTATATGTATAATACGTAACCTCAACTTAACTGATAGCTTGGAGATTGATGTCAGAACCGCATGCTCAGTTACTTGAATTACTGCGAGACATAAGATATGTGTGTTTTCTAACAATCCAACCTAGTAAACCCACGTGATTGTCAAAGTAAATTTAGACTCTACAGTTTTAGTTATTAGAACTAAAATACGATGTTATCAGATAAATATTATGCTATTTATAAACCGGATAGCTATGGTTCTTTCCTTAGTAGAGGTAACATTGAAACAAACTCAGGGTCAAGGTTTTTATAAGTAGGTAACTATAATAATGTTAATATTCGAGGCAATTTGATTCTGCGAACGAGACACCGCGTCGTCGACCTGTTATGGAGGAACATTTTTTTAAGCATCATCTTGAATATTTTCCCTCTCCAGTGAAAGAAATAACCGAAATTAAAGAAAACAGGACACATTTCAAGCTCTGAAAATAGCTGACGGTATATCAAAACTGGTAAAAGTTTTTTGCAAACCAGTCCCAATACCAACCAATCCCAATACCAGGATATCTGGTGTATAGAAATATTAGTCGATCTTCGATCTTCGATAATAATAAATATTGATACTTTGAACTTTAAAAAAAACTATAATTTATCAGCGAATTTATCGGATAAAATATGTAAAAATAAATAAACACTATAAAAAACAAATATCCAAATATTATAATAATAATAATCGAATATATTAAAATCAAATTAAGTAAATTTATGAGATCGTCTTCACGTTTGTCCCTTCTATTCAATATTGGTTGCGTACGCTATGAATAACGACTAATGTCACTCTAATTGATCATTTGAATAAAAAATTGTTTATTGCCAAGAACCCGACCTATCATCGTGGTTATTTATTTAATTAGTTAAAAACTAGTCGCTTCGTTAATGTTACTGTGGTATTTTTATAATATCAGTATTTCACAATAGTTTAGTGATTTTGTGTAGAATGCGGAACAGTTGTTGTTTCAAGGACAAAGGTGCTTACAAATGTGTATTTAGGCCATCTCTTGCCATCGTAAGATGGTCTTGCAAAGTCGCGGTTACAAAAAAATATCAAAAACAAGTCTTATCTACTTGCGAGCGTTACAGGATTGAAGTCAAACACATTATCAATAACAATTCTATTATTGTTCGAAATCTATAACAGAGTTCGTTTCTCTACTTTTTTACTACTAGATACTTGTTAGGTGTACGAAGACTGGTTTTAGATTGGCTCCTACCGCGGTTTCTTTCACGTTAGTGAGATATTATTACCCATGCGTTACAATAAACACTGATTAATTTTTAAAAGAATTTTCGTTTCGTTCCATTTTGTTCAAAAATTGACGTAAATATGTATTAATAGTTTAGTAGTGTACATAATGATGGATGGTACATTATGTAAGCAATAAACAAATGGAAAAATTGACGCATAAAATTAAATAAATTTAAAATCTAAATAATGTTTTACACGGGTGACATCCGATCAGAGCTATTAACCATCAAAATGAAATACGACCAATAGATTTCTGTTTAAGATAACTTTAACACAATTTACGATCTATATACATACTCAATATTGAATACACGTCTTTGCCCGAGGCTTTGCTTCCGTTTGTTATATTTACTATGAAATCAATTTCTGTATAAGCTTTAATTACTTATATGTAGAAGTTTTATAATTTTATATGAACGAAATGGTAACGAGGTAGAATATTCGTAAATTATTTACGTAAATCAAGTATCAAAAGCTTTGGATTGTGCTGAGTATAGTTAATGATGATCGCCTATCACCACATTTAATAACTAAAATTTCACATACAATAACATTACTTAAGTTCCTATTTATAAAACAAATACTTACTACAATATGTATTCAGAATTTAAAGGCGCACTATTGTTTCTTTCGTCCACTAGACTAGCTTTTTTATCGATAAACATTTACATATGTAATATTTGTGTGATAATAAACTTTACACGTGATGCGTATAGACTTACAACCTGTAGAAAATATTTTAGGTATTGGTATGAAAATGTAGGTATAAAATGAATTAATAAAAATAATATTTTGGCGCCGTAGATACCTGCCAATAATTATAATTTTAGGTATTGTTTACGCACTTGAGACGTGTAGTTTCTAAATAGAAAAGTAACAGCAATCCTGCATACTTATATATTTTTAAAAATATATACGAAAATAATTTAACTATCCAAAGATTGAAATATATAGGTATTTTACAACAATCTGTTCTCTTAATCGAGCCTGTCATTAAAGTGTTTTGTGTTTTATTGGCATTTTTTTTAGATATGAAATAGTGAATGTCTTGATAGACAGGAAAAAAATATAATAATATTAATGAATTCTAGAGAATAAGTTACTTTTAAACATATGCATATTAACTTTTTATTATCATCATCAGTATTTATCATATAACGATTCCATCCACGTGCTTCGAACAAATAGATACTATATAGATAGCACAAAAACAGAAATTATACTTTGCCTAACGCTTTAATTAATATTAAGTGGTGTTAAATAAGCGAGACTAAATATTATCATAATGGCTAACATTAATTTTAAATTTATTGTGTTGCACACTAAAAAAATGCTATGCAATGCTACTAAAGTTATTTACGCGAAACTATAGACGGCTCGATGTATGTTTATAACTCTTTCACGTAAAAACTACTGAACGAATCTTAATGCAATTTGACATAGACATAGATTGTAGTCTCAAATGAGGTGTAGCATAGGCTTTATGCTGGTACTAAAAGCGAAGCTGCTGGAAAAAAATAGTAGGTGTATTCCACCTTTGAAAATAGCTAAGTATAGCATTTTTTGTAGCTAAGCATAGCTAGAAAATATTTATTGCAAGAGCCGCAAATTTTTTAACTTGCGTCACTTGGCAAAAAATTATTTTAACTTGCAACAAAAAGATTAGCTTTAGATTAGCTAGCATTTTTTGTAGCTAAGCATAGCTAGAAAACTTTTTAACTTACAACGAAAATATAATTATCATCTAATATTATTATAACTTTAGTAAATATAAAAAAACAATATAGAAGTCCCTAATACCTAACCTATTTTAGTTGAAATTGTGTGTGGCTAAAACATTTCTTTACTACAAACACAGGAAGAAAAATCTGTAATAATCAGCAAAGATCACAACTATGGATACTATAGGCTGATTTTTTGCTGATTATGATATTATGGTGAAGTAAATAGCCATCGAGCAGACAAAGCCGCGAACGTTATTATAATGTATGTAATTTGAAGCCTTGGGCTGAGATTACACGTCTTGCACTGTAATATGATAAATAAAAAATAATGGGCTGCGTCAATCAATCCCCTTCGCCTTGACCGATTCTTATCTGTCATGCCAGTTAGATCGAAACCAAGGTAAAATGTGTTTGAAGATTAAAAAAGCTATCACCGTTGTAAAGGATTTTGTCAATTTCTTGGGTAAATTAAAATATCCTGATGAGTATATGATGAGAATAGCCCTGTGTAAAAATCGTAATAACGAGATTATAAAGCTGTAAAGTTTGTTCGTTTGAACGCGCTAATCTCCGGTACTACTGGTTCGAACTAGACAATTGTTTTTGTGTTCGTTGGTTCATTTATTGAGGCTATAAAACAAGTATTAATTTCAAACATTCGCTTAGACCTGTAGGGTAGCAGTGCATGAAACTGCGCGGGAGAAGACTGTTTTTAATAATGGGATGATTGCTTTACATTTTTTCTATGAAATCCCATTTGTCTTAAAAAATCGATCTAGGTATGTTGAGAATTATTCGATTTTAGAACAGAAAATACCAATTTATGTCGTATTAATTATTAAGATTTATTTATATAACATATAATTAAATTCATTTGTTTTAAACTTAATTAAGTATCTGTTAATTATTTGTTCTAAGAGCAATATATTTGATGGGCAAGGTCATGTCCCAATTCCAACGAATATTCATCAAAAGTGGATATAAACGAAATAGAGGTACTTGTGTATGTACTAACGAGTGACTAGTATTGCAGATTGATAAATATTTATAAATTTCAATTTTTATTGATCCTCTAATGACTTAAAAATAAAAGATTTACGATCTAACTTTATGGCGGTAACTATAAAAAATATTTTGAAAAGTAGGCAGGTATCATGGCCACGAATACTGAATGTCAATTAAACTAAAAAAATAGTTTTATGTACGTTTTGTTTATCTAAGAGTATTAAAATAACATGTCACTGTTTTTATTTTATTGCCGGCTTTTAACTATCCGAACCTATATTTTTAATTAATAGTCATAAACTTACAAAAAAATCTACGTCGAACTGTTTTGTTTTTTACAAGACATAAAATTAATTTAAATGTCTAAATACTTCTACTATAACATTTTGAAATCCAAACTAATATTATAAATGTGAAAGTCTGTCTGTCTGTCTGTCTGTCTTTGCTTCACGCCTAAACTACTGAACCGGTTCATGTGAAATTCAGTACAGACATAGTTTCTAACCTGAGAAAGGACATAGGACAGTTTTTATACCAAAAATACTATTCATACTTAATATTAAGATCTAGTTAATAAATATCCTAAACACGGCTTACAATATTTTTTTTAATCATCACATGTTGACTGAGTATTTGTCAGTGGGCACGCATTCGATTGATTGATTAGATCGATTGATACTAGTAATTGTTTGGCTACAGTGTAATTGAGTCCATTTACATGTATGTATGTATGCCCATTCAATAATATAACGTTGTCAAATTCCTCTGCGACTTTCTTAATTGATTTTATTCTAACTCTGCGCTCCGTTTATTCGTTAAACAACTGAAATATGTACATTATTATCATATTGACTTTCAACATTTTTGTGAGATTATAATCTTTATGCGGTTACCGGAGGCCTAATCCTTCTTTTCCTTTCTAAACCCCTAAATTTCCGAAACTCTTATCCCCAAAAGGCCGACATGTAACTCCTCTGATATCGCGGGTGTCCATGGGCGACGCCGATTGTTTACCATCAGCTGCGATATGGTCGTTTAAAACATAAAATCAAAAATGGAAAAAGACTTCCTTTTTCAATAAGGTGGAAGGAGGGTACTTTAGTCGTTTTTGTGGTTTATAATCATGAACAGTACACGCAGTGGCTTGACCGATTCTCTCTTTTTTGAAAAGGTTAATGCGCAGTTTTTTTTTACTTTACGTTTGTTGGAATTTGATAGTGAAATTTTGTTATTGAAACTGTGTTAGCGTACAAAAACAGTACTCAATAGATAATGATGTATTTGTGACCTATTATATATAATATACTAGCTTTTGCCCGGGACTCCCTTCGCGTGGAATAGTGAATTCCTGCAGATTTTTGGTATAAAAACTCATATATCCTTTCTCGAGTCCCAAAATATGTCTGTACCAATTTTCACAGAAATCGGTTCAGTAGTTTAGGCGTAAAGAAAAGCCAAACAGACAGACAGAGTTACTTTCACATTTATTTATAATATTAGTTTGGATTTTATTAACTTATAAACAATTTTCTATTAAAAATAAATAAACATGAAAAACGCTTAAGGCCAGGTTATAGGAGCGGAGTCAGGAGACAGAAACCGTCTTATTTTTTATGTGATAAGTCGGCCAATGTGCATGCGGATTACCTGATGGTGAGCTATTGGTGTCGCCCATGGACATCTGCAATACCAGAGGAATTGCTAGTGCGTTGCAAGCATTATGTGGTTTAAGCGATTCAATGATTAGGGAGGGATAGGAGGAGGTTAAAGATTGGGCGTCTGGTAACCTAACTCATATGGCGAAACACAGCGCTGTAGATGTTTCACGCAAGTTTACTGTAACGCCGTAGTATTACTCAGGTCAAGACAGCCCATTCGTGCAGAAGCATGGCTCTCCCACACTTTAAATACCTACATGAAATAAACCATGTTTAATTCATAATCCATTAGAATATTTTAATGCGTTACAACATAACGAAAAGCGTGAATAAGATTTATTATATCAAATTCCTTTCCTAAAACAATAAATATATTTTTAATTTAATAAATAAGATTACCTTCAAGCGTCTTCAGAGCCTTGACCTCAGCAGTCTTTAGGTAACTGTATCGGTCAAATTTTGGAGGTTGTTTACTTATCCGTGAGAAGCTTCCGCATATGTTCCTAAGTTCATGTTTAAGGTATTCTTATGTTAAGATTGACTCAGTCATAATAATAATTATAAAAATAAAGCAATTTGTTATTCTAGATATTATTTAGGAGTTAGTAGAAAACGTGAAACTTTCCTATTCATAGCCAAAATAATTAATCGTGTTTTTGAGAAGTAAAAATATTTTGTTCAATATTTATAAACAATTCAGGGATAATTAATTAAGTAAATTGATTGAATTGTTTATATTAAATGTCATTTATACCGAGTTAATAAAAACAGTTGTCTAGATAACCTACACTTAATTAAAACATCTCAACTTTATCTTAAGAAAAATGCAAATAAATAAATTAACAATGATCTACTTACGCGACGTTTTATTATGACTGATAACGTAACACAAACAGTAGCATATACTATTATACTATATACTACTCTGTATTAATAAATACTACAACGAACGCTGTTATTGAAATATTTACGTTTACTTAACAATTATTAGATAGAAACTAAGCCAAAAACAATACGTTGTTGTTTTAATGATACTGTACAAGCTACCACTTGTATCTCCGCCCGTGTGGTATACTGATAAAAAGCCTATGCATGGCCGCTTAAATCACCTATCCAAGAACCTTTTAAAATAAACCAAATCGGTCTTTTTGCGTGAAAGAATAACAAACATACATCCATACATTCTCATAGGCTTTTACATTAGTAGAAGACAACTTTGTACATTTAAATAAGCTAGAACATACGCTTGTACAACCCATTAGATCTAAATGATGGATGAACGATATACCTAAATGTTAACAAACTTTTAGTAAAATTTTATGTTACTACGTTAGTTAGTTTAAAACGATTACTAAACACAAATTACACTGATTTTCAGGTACCAGAGACTCCAATATGGCTGCTATCGAAGGGCCGTCAAAAGGAAGCTCTCGCCTCACTGTGCCGCCTCCGTGGCTGGGCGAAACCAGAACATGTTAAAGAAGAGTTTGATGAATTAATACAATATCACGATGCTTTACGTCGATGTGTACTATGTGCCAAAGAAGGAAAAATATTAGAACCATGCGAACATTACAACACAAGTTCTATGAAAAACATTATCTTGAAGATAAAGCACATATTCTTTGTAAAGGAAACTATGAAGCCATTCATGTTGGTGCTGGCGTACTTCTTCTTCTATACCATGAGCGGAGCTCTGCCAGTCAGGCCTAATATGGTGAATGTGTGCAAGGCCTTAGGAATGAAGTATGACCCCAAAAATATTGTAGTAAGTACTGAAAATGAGTGGTCTCTATCCTGTACTATTCCGGTTATTATGATTCTCTCATCTACTGTAAAAATGGTTTCTTAATTCAAACTTAAAGTAATTAATAAGACAACCAAATCATTTTTCTTCCTACTTATTTATTCTTCTTTTTGTGTGAACTATTTTTGAATTGATAAAAATTGACCTTGGACTTAACTACAGTAAATTTTTGTTGGCTTGTGTTATACATTTATAGATTATAACACCACATTCTCGTACCTAGTTCGGCAAATCATAGATTTGTATTCAACGAACTCATTATGTAGGCAGATTCTCACTGCTACAATATAAATTATGCACTTGTTTGTATATTTAAGAGCCAAGATGAATGTTGACGACCTTATACAACTAGTTTTTTTTTGTTGTTATACCGGAATTAGAATAGTTTCGTGGTTAACACGTGAAGAATGCATTACTGAATTAATTTCAAGGACCATATTTAAAAATTTACTGACGTAGGCTTACGCTTACGATTTCACTTATTTTAATCTAATAAAGTGACCTTTTTCTTTGCATCATTTATATCAAAAGCAACTGACTTCTGAATCATCATCATCAGCCTTAAGGTGCTAACTGTCGAGAAAAGGCCTCATCTCGTACAGAAAAGGCTTAATTTAACTAAGCATTAATCACCACCCTTGCTCGAGGCGGACTAATGATTTCAAACTCATAATTATAAATTATAAGCCCAGATTTCGTCTTGTTTCTTAATTCACCGTTTGCCAGTGGTGTCTAAATACACATAAATAGTACATGTAACTTAGAAAAAGTCATATTAGAACTTGCCACGTTTCGAACCCGCCGCTCCCTCACACATGAGAAGCGGGAGTGAGGATCCTCACCTAGTTTTCACCATGACACACAATACATTCGCTATTAATCATTAATCAATCGAATATATTTTTATAAACACTTTCACTCTCTATAGCCATCACAATATATATTAAAGATATTTAAAAAAGCATTCTAAGCATTACTTCTCTAATTTCCAGGTTGTCATTGGCGCACTGTTCATAGTAATAAGTTTACTGTCGGCCGCTATCGTCAGATTTATTGGGAAGAGGAAGCTAGTCGTCGGGTCCATGTTGGGTACAGCCTGCTGCAGCATGGCCATCAGTATCTACGCTCGTATGAATCTTCCTGCCACCGTTTTCTCCTACGAGATCGACACGTTTACCGACAAGAAAGAACTGTTACCTGTCATCTTATTTTTAGCACTCATTTGCTTCAACGCTCTTGGTATACCCTGGGTGCTATTATCCGAAGTTTTTCCATTCAGGTATGTTTACTTTCATTTATAAAATATATATTTAGCATTTGAATTTATTGTATCAAGTTTGAAGATTATCTATTTGGCATAACAAACCCAAGTTCCTAGTCAACATGTTCCTGTGATCAATAATAATAATCTAATAATATATATAAACAAATATAATAATGTTCCAGGAGCCGTGGAATCGCTACTGCCCTCGCAGCTGCGTCAAGCTACATCATTTACTTCGGAGCAGCCAAAACCAATTACAACATCGAATATGCTTTCCACCTGAGTGGAACATTTGGTCTTTATGCCATATTCGGTTTCGTAGGAACAGTATACATGTATTTATTCCTACCAGAAACTGAGAAGAAAACTTTAGCCGAAATCGAAGCATATTACAAAAGCGATAGGAAAATATTCGCAGATGATTTCTTAATAAACGCTTTTAGGAAGAAGAAAGTTGTAAGCAGTGATGCTGACAAACCGATGCTAGTCAAAACAATTGATTGAAATTCTTAGATAGGCGAATGTAAATAGTTTAACCCTGATTCGATAGATGTCTGTTGTCGATGAGAGAGAATCTGCGATATATTGTTTTTTGTACATCAAGACCAATTTTGTACAAGAATATTGATCATATAGTCATTGTTCATCGAGTGGGTTCTGCCAGAGATGTTTCAACGAAACTTTCTTCTTTTAATCCAACTGATCTGATATCAGTAAGCATTTTACAGCTATCATTATCACTGAGTCGTAGAAAGATATCAATTAAATAAGTATACGTAATAACAAAATGTTCTATTTAGATGTAAGAAGATGTTTTAGTAAAAATTGTCTCTTTTCAAGAAACGCTAAGTTCATTGTAATTAGGTTAATTTGTACAAATATGCTAATAATTTTTGGTATTTATTAATATTTTGTTATTAGTACTATCCCAAAATCTACTTATTTCTGAAAGCCATGTTTTTCATACCATTTGTGTCATTATTGCATGACTTTATTATAAGCAGCATTTATTCAGCTTCATCGACATTCCAGCACTTTAATATTTTTGGGATTAGTACAGATCAAATGCTTGCCAATATTTTTAAGATTTAGGTTAAATATTTTATTTTCTATTTACTTATGTATGTATGTGTGTAATAATAACAATCATGTGAACCTCGGATCGAGACTGATCGTGATTTGCACCGTGGATGGACATGTTATTGTAAATACTGTTGCTCTATAAAAATAAATTGTTTTCATTACCTACCTTTATAGTTTTATTGGTTGTACCTAAGTCCATACTAGCTCATAGTACATTTATATTTATAGACACACAATTTTATTGTAATTCGTAGAAATAAGTAAATACCCCTTACAACGATCATTACACATCAGTACACATTAAGTATATGTAGCAACATTACAAGTACACCAACTGCGTCAGCTTATCTTAGTAACACTATAAACGTGAAAATTTGTGAGAATACACGGATGTTTGTTTGTTGTTTTTCACGCAAAAAAGGGCTCGAGCGATTTGGTTGAAATTTTGTATGTATATAGGTAATACCCTGGATTAATACATATACCTACTTCTTTTTATCCAGAAACAACGCGAGCGAAGCCGCGTGCGCATACAAAAAATAAGTCTTTAAGCGCCTGATACTTTCTGTAGAGAAATCATACTAAATGAGCTTTTTAAGAAACTTATAGTAAAAACTGTAGACACATTAGACGACAAGTAGAAAAATAGTGTCCGACTATAACAGAGGAATTATGTAGACTTAATAAAATAAATATAAAAAAAATGTAGCCTGAAACATTTTATTTATGTGTCGAAGACCGGAGGAGTATCCGGAAAAAATCTCTTGTTTCCCCTTTTATAGTTGTCAGCCAAGTCTTTGGTCTTGCACATTTATGCATTAACTCTGGATTTTCTTGACCATATACACAATTCGTCGAAAGCACATTTTTAACCTTCCCCTTCATTGTTAACTGAAGTATATTGTCCGTATCATTCGTTTTATTGGTAGCGTTATTTTTGTCACCTAATAAATTGTATTTTTCTTCAGAAGTATCATTATTCTGTTCTGCTTCATTTATTTCACATCCTGAAAAATAAAGATTACGACAAAAATTACGTAAAACCAACTAAATAAAAAACGACAGATGCGAATCAAACAGTGTTATGGAGCTGACGCGTAATTAGCCAATTTTGTTAATATATTAATAAGAAATAGACTTATTTCCGAAAGTGGTGTTGCGTTTTAAATGTATTTACACGATCAGGCGCACTGATCGCTTTATGTGCGTGAATAGACAAAAATTAGAACGTGTATCTACTTTTGTCAATTAAATTAAAATATGTGTAAAATAAAACAAAGAACTATACTTAATTATAAAATATCTCTGATTACCAATGTAAGAATACCTGTTCTATAATCAATAAATTAAACACAGAAGATTTTAAACAAAATATTTTATTTAATTATTAAAAAATATTTCTTATATATTAGTGATGATATTTACTCGTATCAAATCGTTTACGTTTCTTAGTTGTAAACCATGAATGAGGTCTGTCACATCTCAAATATTTACAGGGTTGTGTCGGATACCAAAAAATCGTATTTGTTGGTTTCGTTCGGAACAATCTTGTTTCTGATAAAGTTACTACCCTCGGCTCAGTTAATATTTTACGTGTGGATGTAATTGTTGGCATTGTGGTCGTTTTGATAATGTTTTTAGTTACTTCGTGAACGCTGGCTTTCTCAGATTCTGAACTTTTCATTGGAAAAATTGGAAAAAATATATAAGGCACAGTTGTAGTAGGAAAAAAGATTGCAATCGTTGTAGGAGAAGCGGTAGTAGTAGTAGGGGTAGCAGTACTAGTGATAGAAGTAGTAGTGGTAATAGTAGTAGTAGCAGAAGTAGTAGTAGTAGTAGTAGAAGCAGTAGTAGTAGTAGAAGCAGTAGTAGTAGCAGAAGTAGTAGTAGTAGTAGAAGCAGCAGTAGTAGTAGTAGTCGTAGAAGTAGTAATAGTTGTTGTTTTTTTCGTAGAAGAAGTAGTTGTAGAAGCAGTAGTAGTAGGACTAGTAGTTGAAGTACTTGTCATAGATGCAATAGTAGGAGTAGTGGTAGCAAACTTAGTGGTACAAGGAGATGAAGAAGGCGTAGTTAGTTCAGTAGAAGGATAGACAAGGATAGTTGATATACCAACATTATAGTACTTTGACTTTCTGGTTTTTTGCCGAATTGAGGTAGATCTTGGAGTTGTGGACTTTAATACAGTTCTTATGGTATTTGGTGTTTCATCTGCTAGCGATGTGGTAAACCAAGAGGAAGGTCTATCACATGGTGGTAAGTTAAGATTACAATCTTCATTAATATCAACAGTACTTGTTTCAACGACTTTTTCAAGGTAATGTGAATCTAAATTGTAATCCGTAAAATGTTGATTATGTTGGCCGGCTGTTAAAGACGATATTTTCTCACATTTACCACATATTCTTTTATAACCTGAAAAAAATAGATTAATTTTAATTTATTTGTGAATCTACGCCTTTTTGACCACATTACTAGGTTAGTATTTTTATTACCGGGACAGAATTATATGGACTGGATTTGTAATAAAATGACAAAGTAAATGCAAACAATATATTCATGAAATACAAACTTACTGGTATACATACATTATTAATTATAGTGAGACAATTTTCGTCTCATTGTTTTTCGCCTCGTGGTAAGCCATGTGACAGGTCTGTCACAATTTATGTTTCTGCATGTCGTGGGATACCACCATGGTGTAGTATGATCAGATAAAAATGGTTTAAAGATAGCAGAAGTAGTTGTGGTTTTAGTAACGCGTGTTGTAGTTAAAGTAGTTGTTATTGTAGGAGTGGTAAGTGTAGAAGCTGTGGGTGTCGTAGTATTAGCAGCCCCAGTAGTAGTCATTAATTTAAAATAGGGCTTAAGAACATTAGATGAACCAATTAAAATTGAAGTTTTAATTGTAGGTTTATTAGTAGTTGTGGATGTTGTAGTGGAAGGTTTTATAATAGTTTTAGATTTAGTTCTAATGGATGTTACAATGTAAGGCATAGTCGAAGGATATTGCTTAGCAGTAGTAGGTTTGGATGTTTTAGTGGAAGGTTTTATTGTAATTTTCGGTTTATTTCTAAAAGATGTTACAATGTACGGCATAGTCGAAGTATATAGATTAGTAGTAGTAGTAATTTTAGATGTTTTAGTGGAAGGTTTTATTGTAGTCTTCAGTTTAGTTCTAATGGATGTTACAATGTAGGGCATAGTCAAAGTATATAGATTAGTATTAGGAGTTTCTGATGTTTTAGTGGAAGGTAATGTAATAGGTGGTTTAGTAGTAGATATTGTTGTAGTACTTTTAGTACTTTTAGTAATAGATATTGTATTAGCATTAATAGGTTTAGTAAATATAGATGTAGTACGAGTAGCAGATAAAGTAGTCGTCGGTATAGTTTTTGAAGTAGGTACAGCAGCCGTTACTTTTGCAGTAGTAGCAAGTTTAATAGAAGTTTTGTTTGCGAATCGTGAAATAGAAAATGAAGTAATAGTGGGTGTTGTAGTAAAAGATTTAGGTGAAGTGGATGTTGTAGCAGTAGATGTTTCACTTGGCGGCGTAATTCGTTCAGATGTGCATGCACTTTCTGACTGTTTATTAACGCCTGATATCTCGGATCGCTTCAAAGTAGTTTTTCTTTGTTGGGTTGTTTTATGCTCCTGTTTTTTTAAAGATGGTAATGGAAATAAAGCTGTTACGAAAAAAAAAGTTAATTAGCAAGTAAAATGTTTACAGCGCAGTTATGGGGTATTTTTATATACTGAGGTATTTTTGTTTGTCTCTTTGACAACGTTTTGCCTTGTAAAACAAACTTAATTCCAACAACACTAACTTTTAATTAATGATAACATACTAATTGTATAAAAAAGTATATAAGTAAGTAAATGAAGCTACTGACTTTCTTTGATTAAATATGATCATTTTTATGATTCCTATGATTTATTTATATCCCGGTTCTTCTTAACCATTGTGAAAAATTTACAATATTTGGTCTACAAAATTTATTTATTTGTCCATTGATCTATTTTAATTCTTTTATTAATATGTAAAGGCCAATATTCTAGATAAATAAATTCTGCAACTTTATGTGAACTCACTACTTCCAACAAAATAGTAGCCAGAAAAAAGTATATGATTTTAAAATTAAAATATGTAGGATCCCTAAATCAAGTTCCATACCAATAAACTGTTGAATTTAATGTTAATGAGTTAAAATTATAATGACATATCGAGCTTACATGGTTTATCCCGCTTAGGCGTTGGCTTGGTTTCAAAGATATTTGGCATCATTGTTATTATCCTTGATGGTAAAGTTTGCCAAGTTTTAGGTCTATCACAACACAGGTCAAATTCGACTGTATTCAGATTTATGTCATCGTTTGGTCTAGGAGTAGGGATGTTAAAATTCACCAAGGAGCTTTTGTAGTTTGGAATCGTTTTTATTGTCTGTTTGAGCGCTGTCGTTTTCATATTACAGGTAATGCATTGGCAAGTTGAACTTTGCCCAGAATTACATTTACTATCGGGATAATGACCTAGATAATTATATCGATTGAAGTGAATATGCTGTGGATGCTCTTGTCGTTTTAATAAGTGATGCGAAGTAGCTGGTAGATCCCGTAAATAGTATTTTTTTATCTGTGGAGAGATTTTAAATTGAAGTTGTTGTAATTGCGTACTATAAGGATAAGCTTTTTCAGGTTGAATTGAATTAATATATTCAAAGTTATGTTCCAGCAGCCGATCATTTCTTTTATCAACAGGTTGTTCATTTTTTGCTGTGTGCTCTGGTGAATAATACAATGATTTACTTTGTTTGTTTTCTTTAAATCTTTGTTCAGAAGTCTCAATATACCTAGTCGGCAGTTCAGTTGTCGGTTTCGGTGAGCCAATATGATCGGTTAGCACTTCTAATGATGGGATATGCTCTTCTGGGTGTTCTAGATAATCGTCATCTTCGGTGGCCTCTTTTGTGTTTGCGTTAATATCTATATACTGCTCTGGATTAAGTGACAAAGTGTATGGCATTTGTGATATTAGTAAAGGCCGTGGTGGTACAGCTGTGGGCGGTGTAGGCAACGTTGGCTTCGGTGGTATCCATGGTAGGGGTGCCCACGTTACTAACGACCTTAAAGGCATATTTTGTAAGTAATGGTAATCAAGTTCTGTTGTTTTTCTTGGCCACGTTGTTGATACACATTGATGACAAGGTGATGATGGTAAAGCGGATGTATCTAAACGTCTCCGTACGGACATTTCTGCATAAATTGGTGGTGCCACGTTTTGAACATTGTCAATTTTGTGGCGCCCTATTGCTGCTTTACGTATTATTGGCGGGTAAGAGATGGGAAGAGAATTTGTCATATATTTTTTATCAACTGATTGTTCATTTCTCGGTGTGTGCTCTGGTAAATAATACAATGAGTTACTTTGTTTATATTCTTTAAACCTTTGTTCAGAAGACTCAATGTACCTAGTCGGCAGTTCAGTTGTCGGTTTCGGTGAGCCAATATGATCGGTTAGCACTTCTAATGATGGAACAAGTTCTTCTGGGTGTTCCAGATAATCGTCATCTTCGGTGGCCTCTTTTAATACTTTGGCATAAGTTGATTTGAAATAATTTGTCTCCCCTATTGTGTTTGCGTTAATATCTAAATACTGCTCTGGGTTAAGTGAAAAGGTGTATAGCTTTTGTAGTGTCAGTAAAGGTGGTGGTGGCACAGTTATGGGTGGTGCGGGCAACGTTGGCGTCGATGGTATCCATGGTAGGCGTGTCCACGTTACTAGCGACCTTAAAGGCGTCTTTTGTACGTAATAGGAATCAAGTTCCTGTGTTTTTCTTGGCCAAGTTGTTGATAAACAATGTTGACAAGGTGATGATGGCAAAGCGGGTGTATCTGCACGTCTCCGTAGGGACATGTCAGCATAAATTGGTGGTGCCACGTTTGGAACATTGTTAATACTGTGGCGCCCTATTGCTGTTTTACATGTTGTTGGCGGGCGATAAGAGAGTGGGAGAGGATTTCTTATATCTAGTTCTGGACCTAGGCAAAATATGTTGTAGGTTTCTTGATAATCTGAAAATTCATAAATATTATTACAGTACTCCTCAATTATAATGTCGAAAACAAATATCAGTAGTAGATAAGTTTCGTTAGGAAAAAAATATGGAGTAAAACAAAGGTGGAAAATGCTAAATTATTTTATTAATTGTTTTCTTCGTTTACATATTGCAACCAATGTCTTGTTGGCCACCTGGACAAGTATTACTCGGTGACCCCATATATTTTCTGTATCCTGAAATAGGACAGATAAACTTTAATATCAACATTCATATTTTATTACCAGTTTTACTCCAACATTTTTATTTCTAACGAGAAAAACCTTCCAAACTCATGGTATGAATATATTTTGAAATTAAAAGAAAAATCATACTGTAAAATTTGTAAAGGCGCTGTACAAATTCAGCTAAATAAAGTACGCACATTTAGGCATCCCACTGTCACAATGACATCTTAAAAATATCAATAAAAGCACAGCGAACTAGTTTCCGCTGCCAAAAACCATCTTCAAAACCTACCCCTGTAAAACTGTTTCTGGTATTAAATTCTTTTTTTAAAGGTTAGATTTTCTGTTTTTTTTTTTAACTTGGCTTGTTAATGTTTACATTATAACAATACCTATGAGTAGTTTTTCAGTTTCCTTCTTTACTGAGATAATCTGCATTTTTGTAAACAATACCCTAACTGAGATAGTCTCCCGTGTCGCGGGTGCGTTTGCATGCATACATAACGACATAACTGAATTTGTAGATTACACAAAGAGTTTTTATATGTTCCGTCCGTGTGTGGATCAAATTCACGACATGTTGCAGGCATTTGTCCAGCGACCGCGTTAGCTTTGCAGTGCATTTAATGTACTTAATAATACCCATAGTTTAACGACCTTCATTTAAAATTATTGCTTTATTAATTACATGAATTTTAGTGTCCTAAATAAATTTATAAATTAGCTAATCAAGAGCAGGTCCGTCCCAATTCATACGGTACTATTGAACACCAATTCTAATATTTACAAATGGTAGTAGAAAGTACAAGATCTACGGGATAACTCGTAAGAAAACTTTACTAGACGAAGACTTACTACGGTTGACTTGGCTTTACGGTTTACATAACAATAAAATATATAAATTAAAATTGATACATACGCGTTCCAAAATCGCAGTTGTATTCATACATGTCGCATTGATCTAAGAACGTTTTTCGATTGCACCCATCTTCAGTAGCTGCGCAAACCATACGATTGTCATGAACACACACAGCTGCGAAACTGCAGTAGTTGACGGGCTGAGAGAAAAAATATTACAAAAAAAACTAACTAACACAAGAACTAACTGTGAAATTCTATGTTAGAAAATGCACGTATATTATTAATATACACACGAGAAGATATAAGCAAAAGTTAAATTTTTATACTATGTCAATATTTACAATGCAAAAGATACACACAATTGTGTAGCATTTCTATAAAAAATAAAAATTAAATATAAAATAAAAATGCAAATTACATAAACCAAATGTTGCTGTGTCCAATGTACTGATGTGAACACTGAAAAAAATAATTTCTTCATTGGTCAACGTAATTCATCAACTTGCACTTTTAGCGGGGTAGTAATGGAAGTTAGAATTCCAAAAATGTTGAGAATTCTGCCCACGGCCGACGGGGCTGGTACCCATAAAATCCTAATCATTCATCGGGTAAAACACAAGATCAACTTTATTTGAATTTACACGTTTCATTTTATCAAATTACTTAGGATCTGTACAATATCTTCACTTTGTTTAATCTATTAAAATCAGGTCTTAAATCCTTTTGTCTTATTCACGTTTCCAGAAATTGTGTAATAATTGGTTGACGATTGAAAAAACAAAAGCGTCAGGGAAAAAACATCTTACCGATTATAACAAATAACATTTTTATCATAACATTTTTTTGTAATAAAACTAGTAGACTGTAATGTTGATTTTCAATTGCAATAAAAATATTTATAACTTTTTCATCATTGCAGTCATAAACTGTATTGAGTTCAAAACACGCTTGCTTTGTAGTGTGGCCTAATACAAGGATAATTGTCGTCCCATACTTTGGTTTAAATTGTATTTTATTTTTTAGCTTACTTATGTAAGACATTTTATAATAAGTAAAACAATATTTTTCACAAAAGTAATTTAAATACTTAATAGAAATAAGAGTAATTCGTTTATTTTGTATGTGATTGCACGTCAAACGAGCAGACGGATTACCTGATGGTAAGCAATAAGCGCCGGACATGGACAACCGCAACAACATAGGAATTACGAATGCGTTGCCGACTTTTTGGGGCTTAGGGTTTCGTGGATATAAGGATAGGGGGAGGGAAAGTACCTAATGGGCCTCCGGTAACCTGACTCACGCGGTGAAACACAACTCTGCAGTCATTTCACGCCGGTTATGAGAGACCGTGATATCACTGCGGTCTAGCCGATCCATTCAGGAGATTGGAGCATGGCTCTCCCACACTTAAGATATTATGCATTCGTTTGTGTGTGTTATTTCGTTTATCCTTAGTAATAATTATAAGTGTTTTAATTTATATAAAATATGAATTTATCATGAACCATTTGTCAACAAACTGAAGTATCGGTTTAAAAATCATAAAAAAATGTGGAACAAGCTCTTTTGTGGAAGTAAAGATGAATAATATAAAAATTCATGACATGAAAAATTCAAGACATGTAATAATATTTATTATGGTTACTGGCGATGCTAATTACGTACTCTGTGCTTCAGGGCCGAAGAATCAATTACGGATTTTGTTACATTTGCATCTGAATTTATAAATGGAGTTTTGCCAAACAGTGCGTGGTTACAGATTACTTCACTACTTCGTGACGTGACGTATTTTTATATTATCTTAACATTATCAACGTTGCAGATCGCGTACACGTGATAAGCAAGCGACCTGCACACTAAAATATTATTCAACAGATTGTCTTCTTAATCACTTCAACAAATTTCTACCCTACAACAAACTTCACCCTTTTCATGACTTCCATTTCCTAGCTATGGTCTTTTCCCATAAGATATGCCTAGGAATATCGTCATATAACGAATGGAAAACATGACGACTCTTACATTTTTGTATAGGTACCTACTTTTAATACTTAGTATCTGATGTAGCTCTCTTATAGAATTTAATAGAATTGAATAGAATTACCTGTGGTCTACTGACTAAAAAAAAATATGAGTTGACTACATACTTAATAATATTCACTTTGATCCAAAAACTTTACGTTTACAATGACTTGCAATCACTTGAAATGACTGGCAGTTAATTACAATTATGTAGGTACCTACATAATATTTTAATATTTACATGGGATTAGGCCAACTAAATTACAGCCCATAACTTTTTTACCTGATAACATAAAGTGTGTCATACAGGCTCAATGATGTAGGCCCATGTAAATATTATATTTATTTAATTAAATTGAAGGTAATTTGGCATTGACACGGCTCTAAATCGCAACTATCTCATCTTTACTTTAATGTAGCTACGTACATAAAATATGATGGAACGGACTATGCTCTTCTCTACTCTCTTCTCTTTCTGGGTCTTTTTGCGCGACAAAATCCGAAATGTGGAAATTCGCTAAAGAACCAAAGTCACCGACATAGCTCGCAAAATCTGCAGGGGGCAAGCCACGTTGCTCGAAGGACGGACGGCCGATGGGCCCGAAAAGTGCTAGAGTGGCGACCAAGGACCGGAAAACGTAGTGTGGGCAGGCCTCCCACTAGGTGGACCGACGATATCGTCAGACTCGTGGGGAGCCAATGGATGCAGGTGGCAACTTGTCTTTCGACGTAGAGGGCTAACGGGAGGCCTTTATCCAGCAGTGGACATTTTTTGATGATGATGATGATGATGATGATGTACGTAAAATGGTTATATTTTTCAAAAATGATACCACAGCCTCACATATTGCAGGCGTAACCCTTAACGTCAAGTTTCGCCGCGTGATTGAGGTTACTAGAAGTCCGATTCTCTTGTAAACTCCTCTGATGTCGTGGGTGTCCAGGCGTGGAGTTAATTAACGTTTGCCATCCTTTACCACAAAAAAAGAAATTTACCTTCCAAGATTTGTTCGCTGTCTTGTAAGGGGGACTTGTCACAATCTGTCCCATGAACCTCATCATAATATTTATCTTGTAAATAGCGTTCACCGCTTAATAATAAAACCACAAGTTAAACCAGAACTTTTATCAGTTCAATAAAAAAATAATTGGACCTTATAGTATAGAATTTTATTTTAGTTTTTAGATGGCGTTTTCAGTATCATGTCACCTATTGTTGATAATAAAATTTGGTTAGACACAACGTAAATATACTTTAAAATTCACGTAGTTACATCACATCAGTGATTTAATCCTATTATTTATATTCATCTAAGTTTTAAAAAATATTTCTTAATTAACATGAGAACAACTGTAAATAACAATAAACAAAATAATTATTTGTTATATTTTTATCCTGATAACAAAAACACTTTATAATATTGTGCCTCAGTAATAAAAATAATATAGTTCGATATTACCTTTTTAATGAATAGGACGTTAAATTACACTTTCTGTAAAAAGGGACTATCAGAAGACAACACATGCAACACATATATTTCGTGATTATGATCGGGGTTAAACCTTGCTCACACGGTAAAACACGCAAGCATTTGTTTCAGGCTAGTATTCTGTGAGGCTGTGGTAATTTTGCTGTCGTAATGAATAAAACAGTATCAAAAACAAATAGAATCAGCTATAAAATAGCAAATGAAAATGCAAAATAGATGTCAAATATTTAAAAAATCGTTACTTATGCTATAAAATAATAGAATAACAGTCCCACTAACTATTTTCTTTTTCATTCTATCAGTTAACGTATATTCTTATTTTTGAGGTAGGTGTTTCTGAGATTCTTTACTTAGATTATTTGTCCAAAATCCATAGTTTTATATTCAACGCATTTAAAAATATACTTTTGGCACTATAGTAGATTTATGTCAACAATTCTAACTTCTGTTTCTACGAATCTCTTATTTCAAATTTAAATTAAATGAAGAGTAATTAAAAAACAGTTAACGTTCGCTTACTAAATGATTCTGATGGATTTGGAATATGTTTTTATATTATTTACTACTTATGTTAAATTAGAGTTCAATATTAACAGCGTGTTGTACCTACGTCAAGTAAACATATGTGAGCCAATTGTTAGGAAAAAAATATGATAATTATTTGTATACATACTTACCGAAAAAGCGGTGAATAAGATTAGTAAGTGTTGGTTCGTTAAATACATTTACGTTTTCTCTCAAGAAGAACAGTCAACATACCTTGGCTGAACACGGCTAGCGTGCACTGCTTTGCGGATAAATAATAAAAAAAAAAACGATACATAATATTTTCCCGCGTTCACAATGTCAACAATATTTAATCATTTTTAACTTGTACTAAAATGACAGTGTAAATTTAATAAGTGTTTTAAAGTTAATAATAAAATAATTTTATATTGTGAATAAGCTCGTGATTTTTATTATAAATAGATTAAAATGGTGTACGTAATATCAGACATGAAAAATGTCCCAGTGCCTGTCAGTAGGATAAAATCTATATCAGCACAAGTAAGTATCTATTTTTTTTATTAAAACTTCATGCAGGCACTTTGTACCAGTTGAGCCTTAGGTGAGGCAGAGATGAGCGAATAGTTGGTGCAAGAAGCAACCAGACTTAATTTTATACCTACTGTAAGAAAGGTACTTTTTATTACTTTCTCTTTAAATTCTTACTTGTTTGGTACGGATATTTAAAATCCTTCAGGGCTTAATAAAAAAAAGTTAAATTGTCACATCAAAATGTATTGGAGAATACTAAGTCTGCAGCATCTGCCATACATAAAATTACTGACCCTCGGATAAAGTCACATGATATCAAACTGCATTATTTCGCAACACTTCTCGTCTGATATTTCGGTAGTCAATGTCAGTCTAATCCAAAGCATTTTGCTTAGCGATATGAAGCAAATATTGAAAGTTACTTGCCTCGACCCTCTAACATTTTTCAATATTGATAAATTAAACGTTTTACTAAGTTTTACCCTGTGAGAATTGTATCTGGGTGAAAAGCTGCTGCACAAGTTGTTGCGGATTCACAAACTACTAGTCCAGCTTACTAATAACTCGAATCCCAAAAGTTCTGGTAATGCTGCTGCTGAAATATTTATATTGTATAAACCTTATCTAAGGGTTTGTCAACCGGGGTGGCGGGGTAAGGGCAATGAGGCACCGCAACCTCGGCCCAGAGCAGGAGAAGCAACAGGGGGGTTTTTAGTCAGTAAGAGTCTGACACTCCCTCCCGCCCGGTCCTGGGCGGGAGAAGTAATTTGATGATTTTCCCCACACAAAAAAAAATCTAAGGGTTTGTAAACGAATCGATGATGTAAGAGATACCTCGATGTTAGAAACGATAAGTAAACCAATGGTAAATAAACACACGCTCGATCCCTGGTGCCTGAAGTGTCACCTACTGCCACGGCTGAGGAGTAGGTAAGGAAGAAAGTGCCGTAACGCGCTCCGCAGTCAGCGCGACAAAAGTAATTTGATGGTACATTCCGTCTCTTATGATCGCGTGAATCGTTGCATGCATTTTGTAGTATTTATAGGTCTCATCTGTTGCGTTGTTTGGACAAAAATCTGAGAAAACCGTCACCTTGACAGACGTTCATTATGCAAGTACAGTGCACTTGTTTTGATTTTTGCTGTAATTACTGTATACACACTCTAGAAGTTTAAGGAATAAATTATGTTTTCAAGTTTTATGTCTAATGAAACAAAGAGTTAGTTAGGTGAAAAAAAAATGACACAACTATAAGCACTAGTTACATAAACATTGATTTCCAATTAATTTATTTTATGTAACTCTTTTTAATTTCCGGATTTAGTATTAGAAACGATAATATAAATCTATCATGAAAAAAAGATATGATCTAGTTGATACTGGTTGTAACAAAACAAAAACATATTCATTTCCATTCAATTAGCAAAGAAGAAGACAAAAAAAAATATTTTTTTTCGCGAAGACCAGGTTTGTTCTTTGGATTTTATGATCCGTAACTTTTTATTTACGCACCGTTGGCAGTGACTAGGTTAGTTACAGACCGATTAACAATAAATAATAATATAAAAATAATCTGCTTTTTGTATAATTAGGTTACTGTGACTACTGCGGTACTCATGTTAGGTAATTAATAAAGGATAAATCAATCTTTCTTAGATAGGCCCTGGTTTTCAAACATCATGAAAATTGCACATCATACTAGAGATATGAAAGCTAACTAAGTAACATCAATATATCAATATTGTTACAGTAATTTTATAAAAACCCCCGTTACCGCTTAACCTGCACCGCGGGCAAAACATCGACCCTGTTCGGCCCCATGTGTCGTGTTCTATGGACACAGTGAGGCGCGCGTGGAACGCTACATTTAAAAATGTCAAACAATTCGTTTTTTTATATTTCTCCCTTAATTGTACTGTAATGGTGAATCGCTCTAAGAATAATACAATTTGGAGATCTTTTAGTCCGATGTCAAAGGACCTTTCACATCTGGCAAAAAATACATGGACGTAACCATCGATGTTGATCTCAATGCACTTATAAGTTAGTAAAGATTGAATGTTTTACAATTTTGCGCATGCGTCTGTTCTGGTTCTGGTGATTACGTGACCGATGATATTTTTCTACAAATATCAAATCTAAACTAAGCTTTCAGTGCAAAAACTACTATATATACCTTTGCAAGCATTGAGAAAGCGTGAAATAATTGAATACGCCTGTGCATCTCATCTCATCAACAAAATACACCTGACATGATATTATTTTGTATCTATTAAATAATTATGTTGTAGCTTCACCTGATGGATATGCTATCGTCTATGTTTGGTTCTGATCGCTCATTGGTCATCACCTAAATGTATTTCCATGTTAATGTATTCACGAATCAAAAAAGGAATTCCATAGAAACTAGAAAACAACTCTATTTCATATCAGATCACGTGAAATAATTTCACGTTGCTATTCACATTATGCATTCAAATGAACTCCATTCTTAGTAAATGAGGTCAGAAATTATAAAGAAATATTCTATGTTAGATACCGTTATTCAATGATAATATAATTCAGTCCAAACAGGGCCCCCATTTGGCAACTGATTAACATGATAAAGAGACACTTCAACGAGTTTCATTGGTAAGCACGTGAAAGCAAACAGGATAAGAAGAAAATCAAACCTTAGGAGTAAAGAAAACAAAGAACAGACAATATCGCAATATGTTTTTTAAATATTCTTTTATACAATTATATGAAAAACAGTTTATTATTCTTTATACTTATTCCAAATTAAATACTTTAGGTTTAGCGCCATAGTATGTAACTGAATTCTTATTTTGTTTCAAGTCTCTGACATACACATTTAACAACAACTTTGTTGTTATTAGGGTATATTTTTAGTTACTGTAAAATATTTATTTAAAGTAAGTCCGTGGCAAATGGATAAATTTTGTATCGTGGGTGCGTTTAAAAACCTCGTATTACGCATAAAACACAAAAGCAGTGGAATCCACAAAGAACTGTTTTATCCCGTGCAGAATCTAGCATAACTCAAATTGTTCCAGCTAATCGCCAGTATGGCTCCAAACCTGCTTCTTCTGGATCTAGGTATGGCCATCAGCTTCGCCACTATCGTCATACCTGACCTACTCAATGCTCAGACAGGACTCTCTCTTACGGACACTCAGGCTTCATGGTTTGGTAAGGCAACGTATATATTTGAAATATACGTTCGTTTATTATATTTTTAAATTTATGACCTTTTGAGGTATTCGTTATTAAAATGGTTCCACATCTCTTTGCATTCACATTTAAAATAATTCGAAAATTCAGTTAATTTACCAAGTCTATGGTAGAGTATACCTACATTGTAATTGTAAGTCTAAGCAACACCTATTTTCTTGTGAATAATGTATTGGATTTTTTTTAGCGACTAATATTTTAATGGTTACTCCATTAATCATTTTCCATTACAGGTAGTCTCTCATTTCTGACGCAGCCGCTTGGAGCTGTAATATCAGGACCAATGGTGGACTACGTAGGTAGAAAGAAAGCCACCTTCCTAGTCAATCTGCCACATGTAATGGCTTGGATCATCATGTACTTTGCATGGAATGTCCCCGTCCTATTTATTGGAAACGCACTTCTGGGCATTGGAACTGGGATCATGGAAGCACCTATTAACTCTTATGTTAGTGAAATCAGGTAGAAATAGAAATATATTAAATTTATGCTTAATTCAATATAACTTTGAATGTTAGATAGTGTACCATGAAAATATGTCAGAAATGGCAATTTTTTGGTTGTCTAGTCTGAACGTATCAAAGCAAATATAAGGATGATCTGTCTTTTCCCCAATTTAGATTTTCGTGTGTAGTATTTTCATTCATTATTCAGAATTAAGACTACAATTAATTACATACGTGTTTCTATTTTATACATTTAAAGGACATTGTTTTAACCGTTTTAGCGAGCCATCAGTACGTGGCGCATTATGTACCGTCACCCAGTTGTTCCTCTCCATCGGAATATTTGCGATGTACTTCCTCGGGTCCGTAGTCACTTGGCGTGTCGCAGCCATCATCTGCATTTCTATTCCTTTTACATCAATGCTATTGGTGTTAGTTGGTGCTGTAAGTAATATCTGTTCTTCTATACGTTGCATTTTATCGCGAGTTATTTTGGAAGCTATTACTTTTCCATTCTTAATAGCAAGCTTTTAGACTATAGAGTTTGTTTTAATTATTATTGTTGTTCAGGTTCCAGATACACCAGTATGGCTACTGTCCCAAGGTCGCGAGAAAGATGCTCTGAAATCTTTGTGCTATCTCCGTGGATGGACCACAGCAGACAACGTTAAGGAAGAATTCAATGAGCTCGTGGTCTACTCAAAGAATATAGAGGGCTGTGTCATTTGCTGGAAGAAGAATCAAGCACAACAAGAATGTGATCATTCTAAAATAAACCGCATTAAAAGGTAAATTCGGTTTCCACAAAAAATAAAGAAAGAATACGCATATTTTAGTATTTACTCGCAATACCAAGAGCATTTCCTATTATCGTCGTCTTGAATGTTTTTTCCCTTTAAATTTAAATAAATGTATGATTAAGACCGTCAACAAACTCTGTCATGTGCATCATACACAAAAAAATACGATTCATTTACGGTAATGTAAAATTCAATGCACATTTTAATTTAATGTATGTTATTGTTAGAAGATAAACGTATTCTTTGCGTATATTTCCAAAGATGATGTCTTCAACGAGGAAAAATTAAATTAAATTTAAGAACATGTTTTATTATGAATGTTGTAGATTCTTCGTCGAGTTTAATATAGTGATGCTCTGCAAGGAAACTCTTAGGCCGTTGTCGCTAACGATGCTGTACTTCACGTTCTACGTGATGAGCGGCCTCACCCCCATCAAGCCCAACATGGTGAACGTCTGCTCAGCCATGGGCATGGCTGACGACAGCAAGAATATTGCGGTAAGCCATTAAAACAGAATATTGTTCTGCCACCGGTTTTGCCCTTAGATCCAGGTTAAATATTTGCCTATGTGTTATTCCAGACTTTAATTTATCACTGTGTCAAATTTAACGTAAATCAGTACAGTAGTTTTTACGTGAAAGAGTAACAAACATACACCCTTAAAAACTTTCGCAATTATAATATTAGTAGGATCTATTTATCATAACCTCGCCTTGTATTCTTCTTTTATGTAGACAGGGAAAACTTATTGGACAGTACTGCGAGAAATTAATAATTTTTCGCAATAGTTTTTGCAACTATCACTGACAGATTCTTGTCATCAATTTGAATGAAAAGAGACATTTGGTTTTTTTTTCGTGAGGGGAAAATCATCAAATGACTTCTCCTGCCCAGGGTGGGGTGGGAGGGTGTGTCAGACTCTTACTGGCTAAAAACCCTCCTGCTCTGGGCCGAGGTCAGGGTGCCTCATTGCGCTTACCCCGCAACCCGGGCAAAGAGACATATCTTAGTTTTCATTTCAGGCGTCTTCGAGAAGTATAAAAAGATAATACCTACAATTTATTTCCATCATTTAAATATTTTCGTTACTGAATTAAAAACCGCATCTTTTGTGTTCGTTGTTGATGTGACATTCGCACATTATTTTTATAATGCTGAGCAAATTATGCTTTTGACGTCAGTAGTAAGTGACTAGCCTTTATTACTTGGCACAAAATATCAGGCTATTGTCCAACAACATCCTCACTAACAATGTTTACCAGAATAAGAACACAATGGCTTGTTTCGTATCTCGTTTGCGTTTATGGTAACAGCTATCATTAACTGAATTTCATGTCAAGTCTATATTAGACATTGTTGCAATTATTAACTAAACCACTTGGTTAAGTCTCTCAAGTCTTCATGCGTTGCATGAGTTAATTATTTATTGCTTCTAAGCCATCTTCGGCACGAATGGGTCAGCTCGACCGGAGTGTCCATGGGCGACGCTGATTGCTTACCATCAGGTAATCCGTTTGCTCGTTTGCTGACCAATCACATAAAAAAAACAATAGAAGAACAATAGGTGCGCGAACGATGGCGTTTGTTTGAGGTTTGATGAATCAAACATATTAACATACGCTTATCTTTCTACTAAAGGACATACCTATATATTTTTAAACTTTGTGAAAAAAATGCTTCTCTGAGATCTCTTTATTGACGTGTCGTTCAACTGTTATTTAAATTTTTCAAATTAGGAAAAAAAACAATTTAAGGACATTTAATAATTATAATGACGGATGTTTCAATAAAAGCCGCCAGCCAAAGCCAATAAGCAAATGGAATTTAAATTCCGAATGAATAGCATTCGGGACTTGAACTCGATGATCTTTTATGTGATTTATTTGGTTTCAGGTAATGGTTGGCGTTATATCATTATTAGCAAGTATCATTGTGATTGGCATGATAAAGTCTTTGGGCAAACGAAAGTTGGGTATTACAGCTATGCTTGGCACGGCTATCTCCTGTACTGCCCTTAGCATATACGCTCACACCCAACTAGATGACAAAGTGTTCTCCTACGACCCCACGACGTTCCCGAAAGAGAAGAGTATGATTCCCTTGATATTCTTCTACCTACTCACCGTGTGTACTGGATTCAACGTCTCTTGGGTCATTCTTAGCGAAGTCTTTCCTTTCAGGTAAAATCTAAATTTTATTAAAGTTGTTAACTTGTTAAACCAATTAAGATAAGAGATTATTTGTATGACACATTTTATTGATAAAATGTGAACATTTTTAATGGGATTTTCATTACTAGAGTTAGTAAATTCTACAAATGAAATTGATAGGATTAAATTTATTAAAGTTTGGTAACGATACCAAACTACCATAAATTTATTTCTAAACAAAAAACCTCGTAGCACACATTTGTCGAAATATACTTAACATTTCAAAAAAAAATTGACATTCGTATCTATTTAACTAGGAGTCGAGCCTCGGCACAAGGTTGGGGCGCGGCCTGGAACTATGTGGTCACTTTCATCGGCACTAAGACCCTGATAGACCTGGAGACACACTTCAGATTGACAGGAGCCTTCGCCACATACGCTGCCTTCGCATACTTGGGCACTATCTACCTTTACTTCTTCTTACCAGAAACTGAAGGGATCTCACTCCAAGAAATCGAAACCTATTACAATGGAGAACTAAGAATTTTCGCCGACGACTGGTTCATTAACCTCTTCAAGAAAAAGAAATAACAATTTATGGAAATTACGTTAAGCTTAAAATTTATTTTAATAAGAACAAATTAGACTAGATCCAATTCTACATACAATTATATTTTGCTATAAATAGTAATTATTATAAAATGTTTTATTTTATTAATTTATTGATACTTAAGGCTAATGTAGTAATGAGTATTATTGTAGTTGATCACGAGTCTTTTCAGTATATGGGGTCTTCGATTTTTGCCATGAATAAAGGTAGGGCGCTGTTGTTGTCCCATAGGACAGCAATGAAGGGTCGATTGACTTTGAAAACCACAGAAGGGTCGTCGTAAGATAACGCAACCGCCGCAAATGCTGTCGCAGCGGCTGCAGAGCCTCCCTGCTCATCAATTGACAATACGGCTGAATGTACGGCTGACGATATCTGCGGCGAATGGGTCTGGAAAGATCCAATGCCAGCCAACTCGCTAAATCGGTTGAACAGTTTTGTTATACCCATCTGTAAAACAATGCGTTAATGTCAATACGGTTCCAATATACTCTTATCCTACTGGTGATCTTTGAAGGATCTGTATTACAGCACGACAATATGGATCACTCTTTCTTGCTCGTATTCAATAGATTTGTATTTAAGTCTAAAATTTTGACAATAACTTAATTATATTACAAGTAAAGTTTTCCTCTTTATAATATTATTGTATATTGTATAAGTATATATGTATAAAGGTAGGTCGATAACATTGCTACAGATTTCTGATGTCATAACATCGCTAATTCTATCATTTATTCATATGCCCGGTTATATTTTACTTGGCTATTTCTTCGCGCATAACATGTGGTGTAACATCCCCGAATCGAAGCCTGATATTTAAGAAGTGGACAGATTCTACTTACGCCAGGAGCGATAGAAAGAACAAAGGTACATACATAATACATAAGTATCACTAAGAAAATTTGCTAGTGTCAAATCAAAAGCAAAAATATATCCAACATTAACTTTTGGACAGCTACAGTGATTTAACGATAAGGACCACACGCTAAATAAGCGCCATCTAACGAGCAAAAAACTATAATCCTCATAAGTATGTAACAAACTAAGTAGTACCTACCAAAAAAAAAACAGAAAAAAACTAATAACGTAAAAATTACTTAATGAATTTGTGATCCATACAACTATGTATGTTATACTTTATAACAACCAGACATTAGTAATCGGTAAAGTTTATCATAAAAACATGTAATTGTATTTCAACTTACGTTTTGCAAAATAACTTTCAAGTCCGTGTCAGACCTGACTGTGAATTTGGGCAGCTCGAGCTCAGTGTCAATTGCTGGGAAGCTGAGATAGCTGAGCAGCCGGGCATCAGTCAGCGATGCTATCGTACTTCTGATTCCCATCAATTGTGATGGTAATATCACCATTAAATGGTATTCATCTCGCTGAAAAATACAAGAAAACATTTGTTAGAAAATTATTACATTAAAAAAGCAAGCAAAGAAATATATTTGTTAATTTATGTTTTTAATATAATAATAACCGTCAGCAGATAGCACACAATATATAAGTTAAGTTTATTAAAAAAAAAAACAGGTAAAAAAGAATATTGTGGTGTCCCTATTTCCGAAAACGTGGCAATCCTTGCAATAGAATGCGCCTCGAATCCATACCTTGTGTTAATTTTTAACCCAAGGATGGAACCGGAAACTCTGAACTATATATAACATCGAGTAAATATTACAAACTTTTTTTTGAGTTGGTGGAAGGAAATGAAAGAATAAATGTGGGAGAGCCAAGCTTCGGCACGAATGGGCCGGCTCGACTGGAGTCTTACAGAATACCGGCGTGAAACAACCACATCGTTGTGTTTCGCCGTGTGAGTAAGGTTACCAGAGGCCCAATCTCGTCCCTTCCCCTATCCCTTCCTGATCTTTATATCCGCAACCCCTATCCCCAAAAGGTCGGCAACACAGTCGTAACTTCTTTGGTGTTGCAGGTGTCCATGGGCGGCGCCGATTGCTTACTATCAGGTAATTCGCCTGCTTGTTTGCCGAATTATACCATAAAAAATGAAGGAAAAGGAAATTACTCCTCTCACCCAGGTTATGACGAGAGGGAGTGTAAGACTTTACTGATTAAAAACTCGCAGTCCCTTATTGCGCTTGACCCGCGGATGTATTACAAACTTACCATCTAGCCTTCACTCGACCATCAAAAGCAGTTTCCTCAATGTATATAAGGTACAATTATTTCTAACCTTAAAGTTTGTTTATTAAAAACATATTTTCAAAACAACTCACCTCAAAGGGCAACACAATAACTCTAGCATTAGTAGTCGGATCCATACCGGTCTTAAACATCCTGCGCGTACGCATAAACTGGGCTGTTTTTATTTGTCCGCTACTGAGTTGGAATTCCCGAGGTACGGTTGATTCAACTCTAAATGGCATTTCCCACAGTCCTTTGAAGTAAATAGCGTTTACAAGTACCATCTGTGTGTTACTACTTAAAGCATCTGGAAATAGTAAAATGTAACATATACTATCGTGATTTAGATGAAAAAACACTCTCAAAGCAAATCAATACGTAATTTGTATCAGCTAAAAATCTATCGATACTAATAAATCCTACTAAGGTTAGCTTCTACGCCCATGAAATCTTTTTTATCAATCTTTAAATTACATTTATACATAATTTAGTGCCTACATTCCTGACAAATCTTTCAATGCTTACAACATCTAAATCAACATTTAAATCTCCAGTTTTAACTAGCGACCCGCCTCGGCTTGGCACGCGTGCAATGCTATTACTAAATTTCCCCATTATTTAAAGAATGGTAATACCATTATTTTTAGTTACATAGAACTTTCCTCTTCAATCACTCTATTGGTTAAAAAAAGCATCAACATTCGTGGCGTAGCTTTAAAGATTTAAGCATAAGTAGGGATATAGGGACAGAGAAAGTGACTATGTTTTACACTATGATATAATTCAATAAAAATGTTAGCAGTTATGACATCAAAAAATATTATTTCATGAATTGAAACAAAGCCATTGAACTTTAAGTCATGCTATATAATAAAGTATTCGTATCACCTTAGTTTCCAAGTAGCAGGTGCATTTTTTGTAAAGGGCAGCCTATCTAAATATAACATCTTGAATGACAAACAGGTTGCAATGCGTCATAACTGGGTGTCGTCCACTATAATTCTATTTATCTGACCAGATGACAAAGTACATTGAACGGAATAATTTTATGGTTCAAAACGTACAAAAATAACTTTACAACTACTGATTGCAGCTTGCATAGCACATTTAAGTGTGGGAGAGCCATGCTTCGGCACGAATGGGTCGGCTCGACCGGAGTGATACCACGGTCTCACAGAAAACCGGCGTGAAACAACCACAGCGTTGTGTTTCGTTGTGTGACTGAGGTTACCGGAGGCCCAATCCTTCCCCTCCCCCAGTCCCTCCTAAATCCCTAAATCTCCAAATCCCTAATCCCTAAAAGGTCGGCAACGCACTCGTAACTCCTCCGTTGCGAGTGTCCATGGGCGGCGCTGATTGCTTACCATCAGGTAATCCGTCTGGCACCGCGACCTCCGTCTAAAGTGGGAGAAGTAATAGGGGCGTTTTTAGTCAGTACGAATCTGACACATCCTCTGGCCTCACCCTAGGCGAGTGAAGTCAATGGATGATTTTCCCCTCACAAAAAAGAACCACTGTTCATATAAATACATAGATAGACTGGGTATGACATAATACCTATGAAAGAGAAAGGGGTTGGTGCAAGGATTGCGTCCAACAAAGGAGAATGGAAAACATATTGACAGATGGCCAACAGTAGCTCAGGTAAGCAGCAGGAAAAAGACGAATAAGGTTTTCCTCCCTGTGAGCGTTGGTGTTGAAGTAAGGTAATCACGGTTGTTATTTGTTTTTGTGGAAAAATATTCAATATATTAAAAACTTGTCTTGCAAGCTCAAAATAACTAAGGGACCCTCGGTCCATTAAAAACATTATAAAGATTTTGAATCAAAATACTATAAATAAGTATGATGACTAAAAGCTTCCTTTTGATGTCTTAATATAGAATCAGAAAACAACAGGACCCTTAAGAATAATCCTTTTTAGAATGGAATAAAACCATCCTCAAGAGTTACCCAAAGAGTTATTATGTTAATAAGTTAATTATAAGAATAAAAAATGACATATTGTTTCCACTTATGTATAGAGTAACAGTAAAGCTTTAGGAATTACCATTTAATCAAACTTTTGCTTGTGATAGGATAACAATATGATCGTAAATCATAAATACAAGGTTATGGACATATACAGTGTGGACTCGGCTATCATTGGACCGTCGACCAATAGGTTGGTCTCTAAAAGCCTCGACAACGGTTAAGCAACGGACAATCCTCCTTGAAAGATCACTTATTGTGAGGTTTCTGTCTCTGGAGCCCTAACCAAGCTACCGGTAGCTTGGACCATTTTCCCGATGCCGATTAGCTCCTATTTTTATATTTTCAAAAATATTTTTTCACTACGGATTTTTAAATAAATTTTAAAAGAGTGTGAGTAAATAACTGTGTGAAATTGATCGTAAATAGTTATATTGAAAGGCAATTTTGAAAACATCATTAAGAAGACCCAGTCAATATTTGTGTGCCTCATTTGACTAAGCAAAATTAAACTATAATTCATCATCATCATCATCATGCAATCCTGGTTTTAGAATCATATTTTTTTTAAATAACGATTAATGTTTAAAATTAAAAAAATTATGTACTTATACGGCTTAGTATGTAAATTGACACCCTCTTATAGCTAAATTAATATCCGACTAGTTTAAGTAAATTACAACGTCACAACGAGCTATTTCATATAAAAATATCAATATTTACCTGGAGCAATGAGTTGGTTGATCTTGTTATTGGTTCTTGAAGCTACCCAGGTGTTGATCTGTCGAGCCGCCTCCTCCGGCTTATTATAGCTGAGACGAGAGACGTCACTGTAGAAGCTCTGCATCGCTCTGTTTTTGAAGTCCCGATTAACAGCAAAAGCATCAGCTATGAACACATTGTTCGCTACTCTCAGGACGTTTCTGGAACTGCGACTCTGGAAAATGATATATTGTTATTTTTATTCTTTTTGTACATTATTGTACAATGACAGACTGAATGCTGAAGGCATTTTCTTTCAGTCTACTTTAGGGTGACAGCTAAAAGAACAAAAGGTTATCAACAATTAATACTTAAAAATCCATTACCTACAAAAAAATTTTTCTTGTGCTAATTTTAATGATTTTCTAAGTCTAATTTTGCTGCATGACACACGACACTTTCGTGCTACATTTTTTGAAGATGGTAAAGTCATCGGATGATTGTGACATCTCGCCTAGGGTGAGGCGAGAGGGAGTGATTGCTCACCAATTACATAACTGTTAATCTTCCATAGATGCAGAAAGGTTCTTACGGAGCTTTTATTTTATATAACACTAGCTTCTGTCGCGCGGTTTCACCCGCTGCTCGGCTCCATTTAATCCTATCGTGAAGTTTTATACCCTATAGCACTCAGGAACATTGTAGCTATCAGTTAAAGAATTTTGACAATCCGATCAGCGGTTCCAAAGATTACCCCCTACATACAAACTTACAAATTTTACCTTTTTATAATTTTAGTATAGATATAGATTTCAAATTAAGTGTAGTACGTTTCTTACTCTTATATCTCCAGTAACGCGAGCATAAGAAGAGGCTGTACTCTCAGGCGTCATTTGCAGGGCATTTGATATTTGTAGCTCTGTTTCTCCGTTAGCTCCTTGTTGCAGTAGAGCCAGGAGCGAGGTGATAGAAAATGGAGACACTACCACATTGCCAGAATGTACGGTATCAATGTTCTGAAACCAATAAAAGTCTTGTAAAATATTTTTTTTTATGTGATATGTCGGCCAACGAGCAGACGCTTTACCTGATGGTAAGCAATCAGCGCCGCCCATGGACACCCGCAACGGAGGAGTTACGAGTGCGTTGCCGACCTTTTAGGGATAAGGGATTTGGAGATTTAGGGATTGAGGAGGGATTGGGGTAGGGGAAGAATTGGGCCTCCGGTAACCTCACTCACACGGCGAAACACAACGCTGTGGTTGTTTCACGCCGGTTTTCTGTGAGGCCGTGGTATCACTCCGGTCGAGCCGACCCATTCGTGCCGAAGCATGGCTCTCACACACTTAAATTCATTGAACCCATGTGAATTCTTTTGTTTACACCGTATTCAAAATTTCCTTAAACTCGTGGTAATGAAGATTCTTTGCTGAGCTGTAGTATTTGCAACTCGAAACAAAAAAATAGCCAAAAGCTTGTAATTTAAATTAAATATGTTTTTGTTTTTAAATTAAATATGTTTTTGTTGTTAACTGGTCGGTTACGAATACAATACGTCAAAAAATAAGGAGTCTTTATGAATTTATCGCAAAATTCTACAGCCTCACAACTTCCAAATGACATATTTATTGATTTATTATCCAACCATTTTAGGCGGGTTAACATATTACCTTGCAAATTCTGTCTATTTTTCGCAAAAAAACATCATCAACAAGTATTATTATTTTTCGTATTATAGTCAAAAAAGTTTACCTTGATCAAATTAACTCCAAAATTTGTCACTGAATACAATAAATTGTTGAAACCCGCAGATTGGCTAGGCAAGTTGAAATTGGGGGAACTTGGCTGTACTGGTGGTCTTTGAAGTTCACTTTGAGGCACAGCCACCGATGGTCTACTGAGAGATATCTCTGGCACACTTGGCCGATCTCTTGGTAATTGCAATGAATTTGGCACACCCAAAAATATCTGTTCAGCTGCAGGTCTGTTTAGCTCAGACTGCGGTATCGCTACCGTAGGTCTTCCCAGGGAGATTTCTGGTTTTTCCTGTGGTATTCTTGGTTTATTTTGTGCTATATTGTACTGCCGCTGTCTATCCAACGCTTGTCTGTTAGGTTGGATTTGAGGCACATCTTGTCTATCCAGAGCAAGTTGCTGAGCTGTCTGACTACTGGGTATTGTTGGGGTTGATATTGGTCTATTAACAATATTCTGTGAACCAAAATTATCGATTTGTTCAACACTTGTTCCATAAGCCAGCTCAGTACTCTTTTCTATCTCCACTGTAGTCTCCGGTTTTTTCTGCCTCTGTGGTTCATTACCAAATACTCTTCGTAATGCATCATTGTCTATCCCACTAGGTCCTATTGAAAGTGGGACTACTGGGGAGAGATTATCGCCAAAGTATAGTCGGTTTGGATTAAAATAATTTGCGAAATATGGATCTTGTGACTGGGCACCTAGCATTAGGCAGCAGAATGTTATACCTGTAAGGAATAAATTTTATTGTAATTATAAAAAAAATGAATTTCCCTTTCAGAAGCATATATATATTAGCATATGTATATTCATATAGACTATAAATGATGAAAGATAAAGAAGATTTATAAGAAGATAATTACACAACAATGGTTTTATCATGAGGGGCCTTTTATTTCACTCAGATATCGAAAAGCTCATCTCCATGTACCTATAACAATATTTAGATATGACATTGATAATTATAAAATTACATGGCAAGAATATGTTACAAATTTTAGAATTTTTGAGCAATTTTCATACAAATGACGCAAAAACACCAAGCAATCAAGAGGACGACATCATACGCGTAGGGCACGTTCACCCATAACGAGTATTTATGTGACATCATATGAAGATGTTCATATATCTAACCTATCTCAAAGATAAAGCTAATAATAATAAAACTTTCTCAAATGGTTACAATTTTGTTCTACTCCAACTTAAATTTTATAATGCTTTTTGCATTGTAAAATTAAATTCAACCCTGTTGTTAAACCGAAAATTTCGATTTAATAAAAATTCGTAAAACCATGTTCATCTACGATTCGCTGATTTAAATAAATACTCGTATTAAAAGAATATTTGTACTCACTTGTTAAAATCATTTTTAATGTTCTACCAAAAACTTGATCATTAATTTGTTGTTTACGTCTATTATCACTGTTTGACCTTAGTCACATGTAGCTTCTTTTTTGTTAATCACTTTATCAAATGCGTCAGCTCACAGTTCACGTACATGCACTAACCACTGACACTACCGGGCGAGTGGCCGTAAACAAGAATCCGCGACTAAAAACCCGTTTACACAAATCAAATCACTTTGAACGTTACCTCTTTCGCTTAAAGCATTATTTGCTTTGGAAACGCGTTTAGCTTTATAATAGTAAGATGGGATTTTAATGAACTCGTCATTCGAATTTGGACGTACAGCTACACAGTTTAAAGTTGATGTTTAATAAAATTGATTCTTCAAATGTAGGTGTCGTCTACACGAATTGGTTTTCCCGCGAACAGCCGGTTTATGTTTTTCCTTGGCAAGCCTTAATACATTTTAAAAATATATTCATACATGGATATTTTATAAAAAATCTGCGGCACTAAGAATAATGACATTAGTCAAACAGAATCAATGATGAAATTATTTTAATACTTAGTTTTCAAATTTTATTTAAATTAAGTCTGATTCTGTTCCAATATTTAGTCATTATTTAGTCTTTTTGATTTCCCAATTTGCGGTAATACCTATAAGTGAACTTTTTTAGGGGAGCAAATCAACGAATGCCTTCTGCTCTAGAGAAAAGGGAGCTTCAGACTCTTCTTGACTAAAAATCACCCCGATCGTTCTCCTGCTCCGGGTGCGGGCCACGGGACATTATTGTACTTGCACTCACAACCCAGGACCTATAATTAAAATACTGTTCTCATTTTTATTTATTTCACAGAAATTATGTTTCTTCTTCAAAATGTCTGCTTATTTTTTTTATGTCATAGGTCGGCAATGGGCAGACAGTTTACCTGATGTTAAGCAATCATGCAGCGCCGCCCCTGGACACCCGCAGCAACAGAAAAGTTACCAGTGCGTTTTCGACGCTGTGGTTGTTTCACGCTGGCTTTCTGTGAGGCCGTCGTCGGTTCGACCGGAGGGTCGAACCATTCGTGCTGAAGGTCTAACACACTTTTCAACTCTCTTAAAGACATTTTCCACACAGAACCAATTATTCCTAATCCTCATAAGCTTGATATTTTGTAACTGACTATAATACAAAGGACAAAAAAAAATGTGTAAAGTTTGGTCAAATCATATGATGGCATAATAACTTATTGGCAAGAGCTAGTCAGTAGATGAATTTGCATAATACGAAAAGGATGCTAGCATACAACGTTGTTACTCCTACACAGTAGTTGATAGACCGGTTGGCAACTCGGTCTACTAAAGAAAATAAATAAGAAAAGAATTTGGTGTGATCTAGTGGAAAAGGTTTCGAGCACATCAGAGCTTGTTTTTGTTGTACAAAAATATTGCGGACTGAATTATCTCCAGTGATAAGTTTGTTGATGTCGGTAGGTAGACTAACAAATCTTTTGATTCCATTCGTTCGTTGACTCTTTGGCAAAATACTGATCAATGTCATTATTTGATACACTTTCGATAAATTTGTCATAGATACCTTTACTGAAGAATTTATTTTTACCTTTAGTAAAAGTTACAGTCATCAGTTCATCACCTTTCAAATGCATATTAACGTATCGTTATTTTGCTTAATTATAGTACCTACTTTATTTAACTTTACAAATAAATATCATAAAGCATTTGCTTAAACTAATACTGTTATAAATACTTGTGAGTGTTTATTTTCTTTTACTAAAAACATTTCTTCTTCCTCTTATTAGTAACATTACATCCACATAAACTTTTAAGTAAAATTCTAGTCGAAACTAACTAGCTGTGCACTCATTTTCCTAACATCATACAGGTAAGTTAAAAAAGGAAGAATTTCGAAACAATTTTTATTTATTTTAAAAGGTCTTTTACATGTATAGGTGACAACTAACAAATCACTGGTATTACTCACAATGTTCAGTATTTATAAACATATCTAACATGTTTTACGCCAGTCATGAATGTTACTGTAATTACAGTTATCTATTTACGTCAGAATTTATAGTCAAAAATTTAATACCAAAGTTTTATTTTAAGGCAAAGTATGATTATAAAATAAATATTAATAGGTACTGTAAAACTTACACTTATTGAAATTATTAATGATGAAGAAAGTGTTAAAGATTTTTAGAAAAACGATAAAATTTAAATACTTATTACTACAAGTTAAATACCTCAATTAGCATTAAATTTTCAACAAAAGCAATAACAGGACTATAAAAGCACCCAAAAAGACAGGACTAACGTAAATATACAAAAAAAAGCAAGTAAACATTTATGGAGAAGCACAACAGAATGTTTATTAAAATGAAAATTCAATTATTGTGTTGTGACCAATGATTTATAAACCTATTTTAAATTTAATTTTAAAATATAATTTACATGTTTTAAAAACGAATTACACAAATTGACCAAACATTTAAAGTCTAACAAGCACTTGATGTCGTTTTGTTATACAACTTGACTAAATGCATATAATTGAATTCAGTCTTATCTTTTCCTATTGTCTAGTCGAGTCAGTTCCTAAATATAGTCAAAGTCATGTGTAATATATTCTATACCTACATCTATATCTAAGTAAACAGTCATTTAAACCAGTCCGCCTAAAAAGTCTACTATAAAAATCGTGATTTGTTTGTTAATGAAACTTTTTGTCTGTCAAAGCGCAATGACTCCTTTAAACTAATTCTTAAATTATTTACTTCTGTTAAAATGTTATTGATAGTCATAATATAAGTTTGGTCAGTCTAATCTTCTAAGTCTTTCAATTTTTGTTCTTTTGTTCTTTGTAGATCGTTATTTGTTTCATGTTTATTGAGTTCTATATCTTTGGCAATATTACTTTAACTTCGGCCGGAAACTCTTAGTTCCATGGCAGCTAAATCGTTGGATGCTTTGATTATCTTCTGTGCGATGTAGTTTGGTGGTGTACCATAATGTTCTAGAGGTGCTTTGTACTCGTACATTGGAGCACCCACGGTGCGCACTGCTCGGCGTAACAGAGCACAAGTGTACGTTAAACTTGTTGCTTTTTTCTCTGCAATCTTAAATCTGCAAAAGGAAATTTAGATTGATAATTTGTATTACGGCTTCTTCACGATCGATGAAATACAAAAAGTTATGTGGTTTATCCTCATTTCTGATATTAATCAATAACCTATCACTAGGTACTTATTTTACTAGTAATTACGATTATATAATTTCTTCTTATAAAATCTCGGTAGCTTTAGGGCTACTTATCTACTAGAATGATGTCATATACAAACTCAATTTCTAGTCTTTGTATAAAATTAATATTAGTGATGACTAATTTAATATTAAGTACTATTGAAGCAATAGTACTTAATATTAAACAAATGAAAAACAACTATTTATCAAAACAAACCGGTGTAACGACAATAAATTTACCTAAAATACAAGATTTTTTGAATATTTTGCCGAAACTTGTTCTTAAAAATCAATTCGATACAGCTTGGTTATATATCAATTTTATGTTTTTTTTATCTATGAGATTAAGGATAGTTACTAATGCTATTGTTACAAGTCACTGAATGCGTAAATACCATGTTTTAAATTGTACTTTTAATTTTTCACCCTCCAGAATTTTCAATTGTCCAAACTCAAATATTTCAACAAACAAAGTTGGTGCACTTGGTAACAACTATGCCAGAAGACATTTGTCATAAAGTCCGCAATAGAACAAACTCTGAGTATATCTAACAAAACAAAAACATCTACTAAAAATCTACGTACATATTACTCTCGTGAAGTCGCGCTAATAACTCCCTTCTCCTCAGCAAAAGCACGGCATTTCTGACAGCCGCCACTGCGATCACGGAGGGATACTCGTCGCATAGGAAACGGTCCACCATCATACCACACATGGCCAAAAATGTGGCTGCCACTTCTATCTCCCCAGCACCATCGCCAGCACACCACCATGCTAAATAATTTATGAATTCCTGAGCTACCACTGGTTGCGGTGGGAATTTCTGAAACAATAGAAAGTTAATAAATTCAAAATCCCTTTCTTAATTGCCGAACTATTGGGTTGACAATCTATTAAAATATATCGCATTAAAAAACTCAAAATGTATGTTCAGTTTTGAAGAATTATCTATGTTTCGGACTTGCTTGTCAAATCATATTTTAAATAGGTCACTAACATTAAATTACATTAAAAGCTTTATAGGGGTCTTTTTGCCAAGTATACCTATTCAGAAAAGAAATTTTTAATGGTATGTTTACAAATTCATAAGATTTTAGTTTCTCTAGAAGATCAGGTGCAGTCACTAAGCATGATGTACAAAACTGACTAAATAAAACTTTAATGTTCTTAAAACGGATGGTTTACTTGAACTTGTTTCACGTATTATGTTTTCCTGCTTTATGCTTGTAGCGGTAAATTAACTGCGAGACAACGTGAGGATATTCATTTCATTCGACACAAATTTCTGACTAGAATTTTTGACCTTCCCGACTTTGCGAAAAGTAAAGTAGCCTTAGTGACCGTCTTTATTTGTATCCTCTTTGTATTCTCTTGTACGAGACTGGTGTAATATTTAAGTTTAGCCTATTAGGAGACCAGATAGCAGCGTCTAATAGACTAGCTATTCAATAGGGTTTCCCTTCCCCTACCCTATACTTCTGTTAGAGTAGTGCCACAATCCACTATAGGGACTATCAACGGGTTTAGTTTTTGTAATGCAATTTATATATTAGCAGGCAAACGAGCAGGCGCATCACCTAATGGTAAGTGTTTGGCGCCGCCCATGGACACCCATGGCAACAACAGAAGAGTCACAGATGCGTTGCCGGACTTTTAAGAAGGAGTACCGGCGTTTCTTACCAATCTTATCAGCACAGCTTTCTCAGCAGCTAACAGCTTGTCACTAGTGAAAGCAGAACTGGCGTATCTGACGAGCCTCATTGCTGGCATCACAGGCCCGTTCAATTTCTGAGCTATCCAATAACAGGCTGCTGCTACAAGTTGCAGCCTTTCCACCTGCACGTGTCCAGTTCCAAGAATCGAGTCTAAGTACCAACACGCCGTTTGAACGACGGCCGGATTGCCGCTTGAACCCTATAAAGGAAAATATTTTAACACAAACTCATTCTGAAAAGGGACTGTTGTTGATTTAAAAAAAAATATTGCATTGTTTTCTAAGAGTTTCAAGAGAATATGATCCGGACGATATTGATATATGACAGATTAAGTGGAGTAAGTATTTTTATTCTGTTTGGATGACTGTAATAATTTTATTAAAGCCAACTTGAACAGGGTCAATGAACTATGCAAATATTTGCATAACACTTAACAGTCGTAACAGAAAAATAATTGCCACTTTTAAAGATTCAGGATTTGTCTCCAAAAGCCAATATGTCAGCGTTTAACGATTAAGAAATAGGTGTACTGCAATGGTTTTCCTAAAATAACATATTCCTAATAATAAGTGGTCAGGCATCTATATTTAATCAGTTGAAAAATACAGAATTGTTTAGCCCTTAATAGTCTCTCATACACTTCCAGGAATGTTATTCATAAATAATATAAATTTATGTATAAAAATGTAATAAAAAAGGGGAAAACATATTTCAGTAACATACTCGTCCATGAGTAAAAATTATAGACAGATGTTTTAATAAGAACATAAAAATATGTAACATTAAAAATGAAGCATACTGATCCATATAACGTGGTAAGTATAGCAGATTTCTTGCAAAAATAATCTTGTTTGTTGGTGCGGTGGCTGGGCATCTGGCTGCCGTGCAACGTGTCGCGAGTCCGATTCCCGTACGAAACAACTGTTTGTGTGATCCACAAATTGTTGTTCCGGGTCTGGGTTCTGGGCCGCACCCACGACACAGGAGAAAATCCTAATGTGGGGCAACTTTTTTTTTAAATCGTACGTTTATGTACGTAACACATTTTTTGGCAGCATGTTGTGATTTTGTAACATGCTGCTCAAATATTAGAAACAGGGGCAAACATGGGTGAGTCCTTATTTACCAAAGTGAAAAAAAAAACAACTACTTACAATATTATTTATAATTACGTTATCAAATCAAATCAAATATCTTTAATTAATACATATATGTATATGTGAGATCAGGTCAGATGTTCCAACTTAAGCCCTGTTGGGCACTGCAAAGGACTTATAAAGAAACTCCGAAAAATAAAAATAAATGTTATAGTAGGTCTGTAGGTAGTTACGCCTGTATTGGGATTCACTTGCACGTGCTTATGCAAACATTACACAACCAAACTAACCTCGTCAATGAATGTATTCAAGCACAACTACAGGTGAATTAAGTATTCGTTATTAATTTAGTCTATTCTTTTTCTACAAAATAAATACTCTTATTTCCTTTAACGATTAAATCTTACAACAAAAAATCAACAGAATAAAGCTTAACAAAAATGGCATAAACATTACTAGATGGTAAATCTAATTTCTCTTAACATTAATCACACTAAACACTTATAAATAGTGTAAAAACTGATAAATAAAGATTACTCACGTTGACTTTCATTAACCAGTTGATAACACAAGCCCTTGGGACACTGGCTGTGCGAGGAACGTCCAGAGGTTTCCTCTCCACAGCTAGGAGATACTCGAACATGTCCACAGAATAGTCCCTGTTAAGACATCGCATGTATGACCTCTTCCCTAAAACAATATTATTTGCCACCTACATTACGTATCCTGTCCATTTGACCAACAAACAAAACCACCAACAAAAATTAATTTACGACTAGTTTATGTATTTCACACCTTTCCGATCCACTATTGAATCATAGTGAATGCTCCGTGCGTTTGTAAATATCCCCAAATACTAATGTACTTGCGTCCGGTTTGTAGTTGTATTGGTCAACTAGTGTTTAACTATGGTGTCAAATTGTGCAAAGATCAACAAATTAATTTACACATACCTCCAATTTTGAAGTAAAATAAACATCGTAAGGTCAGTATTCAATGTCTTATGTTCAAAAATGAGAAATTCAAATTGACCAACTTACTTAACAAAATGTATTTTCACCAAATGCTATAGTTACTATCATTGGTGGTTCTTTGGGTTTTTAAACATTTTCTTTAAGTATATGTAAATGTTTTATTTGCAATAATTAAATTATCAACATTTTTTCGATAAGTGTGATAGTGTTCTATTTATCGGTAGATGTCACACACAGTACGTGAGCCATATACCGACGAGTATAAGCCCAAAAAATAATTAATACCTACCTACTTAAAATAAAAATAATAAAAGTAGTACCTAGTTATTTAAATTCTAGGTACGTCATGAAAAACGTCAATTCACTTTAATAATTCTATTGACAAACATGGATACATTTAATTACTTACAAAAATCTGGAGTCCCGAGTCTTTCTTGTAAACTTTCGTTAAATTGTAAACGTTTTTTTACTTTTTCCTCATCCTTTCCTTGTTTAGAGGGGGCAGGCGGTGACAAGCCCTGCAACTCCCGACTATGAGGTCTTTTCAAACTCCTTTTGATATTCTTAATACGATTTGACTCCAGACATTCCTGCAGATTTGGCGTCGCAGCGTTCACTCCCAGCGTGTTTTTCTTTATATTGTCTACAAAATATTTTCGGCTTTTCTTATCATCCAAATACTTTTCATCATCACTAATTGATATAACACTTGCATCTTTATCCTCAGTTCTGTCCTTGAACACTGTGTAATGCCAATCCAAGTCTTCACTTCTCTGCCTTAATGTAACATGTTTAGTATCAATCTTTAGAGGTATGCGAGGTTTTAGGGGCACCACTTTACTAGGGCCAGGCTTGGGTATATTTTGAGCGAGCAAAGTTCTCAAAGGACATCTTTTTGGAATTTCCAGATTCTTTTTACTATCCTCTAATAAATGGCTCGGCAATGCTGGTAATGGATCCTTTGGCAACGGTATTCTTGTTTTATGTGTATTCTCTTTATCAGCGTCGTGCCTTGAGGTCGCCATGTTATTCAAATTGTAACCGGCACAATAATGAAAATATAACAGAAACATGCGACCACGACCAGCGTGACTGCACGTATGAGATAATAATTTTTACTTGTCGTAATGTCATTTTAAAATACCCTCAAGCATTTTAACAAACTTTTGTCTAATGAAGGTTATACTAATAAACCTTTAAAAAATTAAAGGATCAAAGAAACAAAAGTTGCCAATTCAAATAAATAATTTAATCTTAACCATATCACAACATTACAAAAAAATAAATAATAACTTATATCTAACTTACAAACTACGCTGTGTACTTTTTCATAATCAAATGCATCTGGTTGTTTATTTAGAAACTTGTACAATCTCACAGCAAGGTATAAAAGTACTTCATAATGAAACAAATAAATACAAGCGAAACGGGTGGGAATCTCCCTCGAGAGTGCCGAAGGCAGTTGTTAGGTCCTCAGGACAGTGTATGAAAAAGAAACACCAAAGATGGTGACGAGGATTCAAAAAATTCCAAATTTTGTTTCTAATTAGTTGTCAAAGGGTTTCTCAGGTTCAATGACTTTGCCGGCGACGACGACTAGGTTGTCCAAAGTGTCTAAGATGTAGAAGATGAAGGGATGTTCCACATTGAAGCGACGGACAGCCTTGGGTGGAGCCAACGGCAAGTTCTTTGAGAGTTCCATAACTGGGTTGGATGCTGTAAATAAAAAAGTTATTATACTTTAAAATATAGTAGGTTATCCTCAAAACAGCGTTTGTTTGCATTAAAATAATTAATGTTATATTATTTTTCATTTACCGTTATAAAGTAACATTATAATTTATTATGCACCCCATTTTGAGATTTTATTAACATGATTGTATGATTTGGGTTTAATATTGACACCGAGCTCAATGACATGCCCCGTATTATAAAGACCTAAGAATTTAAAAGGCAATCACCGTTTGAGACTACCACTAACGATTATGATAAACATAACTTTGTAATTAATAATTACCTGATAATTCTGAAGCTGAGCTGTCGGTTTCATCAACACGCACAGCTACGTGTTGCACCAGCTCTTGTACAAACAGACCCTCATCTGAAGATATACCGGTCAGGTCCGCCTCTCGGCTGAAGATACTGCTAACACCAAACTGAGAAAAAAAAGATATAATTTGTTACTTAACATCATAAGAACTTTACCATTACGATTTTTCTTATACCAATTAGCACCTAATTATAAATATCATCAACATTGCAGAACTCCAAATGACCCGGTTCTACGAAAGGAGTACCACCTTTTTAGGCATATTTTCGCAGTGAAAAATATGGTTATAAAAGAGGGCGTTTTTTTCCTTACATATTTTTACAGTTTTGTAGATTCGTCTATGTATTCCTAGCAAAAGTTTCATGTTATGTTAATACTTGCAGCAAATAATAACATTTTTAAAACGAAATCTCTCATTTACATTTTAAGTAAAAATTACGACAACAATTAAATGACTGTAGACTAAATTACCTTAGCCAATGCAGCAACAGGCTTAGTAGTGGTCTCCACTGAGAAAGCAGGAATGGATACTTGGAGCTCTTCGTCCTTCAGACTGTCTTGGATGTCAGAGAGAGGTGTCACGGGCAAGTCGGCAGTCAACCTGGTCAGGCCGTCGCGGGTGCGAGGTACCACTAGCAACAAGGCGTAGCGACCACCCTGTATAAACATTAATTTAAATTTCTTACAGTTTTTGTTACATACACTAACAATCAATCCTTATATTTAAATAGATACAGCCATGCACTTGTATGTACTATGATTTACTCTCTTTTCAATAGTTTTGCATGAATCCTGTATAATAGAAGCAATAACAGATTATTAGATTTATTACTGTGAAACTACAAAATCAGAAACTCAATAATTCTCCACTAGGCCCCAAAATCAGTCCTAAAATTGCTAAGCCACGATTTGCAATAGTAAATACCCAACCAGTAAAAATAAATTATAAGGAAATCACGAGAACTTTTTCCCATGTATACTTACAGCATAAGGCAGTTTGATGGCCTCAGCGTCAAGTTCAGGTATAGCGCCAGTCTTGAAACTTCCCTTGATCTTCATCATGGGAACCTGCTTTTTCTCTGTGTTGGATTTGTAGAACACACCAGGCTCAACAGTGTCGAAAGGTTTCTCCCATGAGCCACGGAAGTACATGCCGTTGAAGATGATCATTAGAGAGTCTGAGATGGAGGCTACAATAGGAAATAAAATAGTGAGTTAATTTCTGATAAATATTTATATATAATACTAACGTTATTTTAATAACTAATAAGACTGCTTCGATGGGCAAGAGTCGAAATAACTCCCTATTTAAAGTGACATTTGGGAACAATAGATGACATTTTCTTACTTGATTTCTTTCCGACACTATTCACTGAGAGGCTGGACGTAACATCACGAATACCCTGCAAAGCTTTAAGGCTTCTAGCATGGTTTCTGGCTTCAACAGCGACCATAGTTTCTTCTTCGTCTTCTGACTCAGTTTTCTTAGGGAAAGTCTTAACCAGTTTAATTTTTTCCTTGATGTTCTTCGCTGGTTTGTAGTCCATGTGAGAAATGTCTACTTTCTCAGGAATATCATCGACGGCAAAGGAGATCAGTTTCTCATCAGTTTCTTTAGGAGGCATCATTTCGGGAATCTCTTCATCTTTCTTTTCTTCAGTCTTGTCAGATATTTCGATTGTGAATTCACTCTTATTTTCGTCATCTTCATCATCGTCTTGCATCTGCTGCTCAGGATTGTAGCGCTCTACAGACCGTACATCAGTTAGATAGTAATCTTCTAGAATCTTCTTGTAGTCATCGTTGATGGTGTAGTTCTTGTAAATGTAGAAATAGTTCTTCAGCTCTGGCTGGTTGTATTTGTATTCGTGGTTGTTCTTCAGTCTTTCCATAATGTAGCGATATGTCTTCCTTATGAGTTGAGGGTCTTGAGGGAGGTGCAGGGCTGATACTAACTGATCCCTAGTCTCTCCACGGGCGCCTTCCGCAAGGATGGCCAAGATCGCCGAATAACCCAGAGGCGAAAATGCAATATTTTTGTCATCGTCAATGTAACCCTGTAAATAGAGAAAACACCTCATAAGTATTTGAATAACGTAATTTTACTAAAAAAAACAACCCAAGGGACTATAATTTTTACATGGTCATAAGGTAAATTCTAATTTCTTATATTTCTGTTACTTACACCCGGTTTCCGAAAGGCCGATCAATGTTAAAATCAATTTAATCTCTAGTCAAGTCATCTGATTGGTTGACTGAATTATCAACAACCAATCAGATGACTTTACAAGAGATTTAACAGGAGATTAGTTAATTTTAGCGTTGACAAGCCTTTCAGAAACCGGGTGTAAGTGTTTCCTTTTCAGTCTTGTAACTAATAACATCATGTTGTGTTTGCAAGTACGATAATCTTTCTATGTTACTACTTTATTATAGACACGAATGGTAGCATTTATGAAAACATCCGCGGCTGCGTGGATGTCTACATTCCTCGGTAACCACACATCTGCACATACTCGACATCAATTAGGCCTACAGCGAAACAATTAGTATCGCTATTGGCTGGAAATCGTGCAGTGTACCATGTGGTCTTGGCGCCGTACGTAGCCTGTTCTATTAAAGACACGAGTTCTGGCTTCAGGCAACAGACATGTAAGTATAAGGTACTAAGTTTCGTATTCCAGTATATTTTTATTTCTATTTGTTAGCAGATATAATAAATGTAAAAGCTTTGTCAGAATGTTTCTAAATGATTTTTCCTCCCCTGCGGACCGAGCTGTTTGAAATAATATCGGTCGTACCATATCTTATGATACAATATTAAGTTCATATTATCTAGGCTAAAATAAATTATGTATCCATACAATTTTATTGTTCTTTTGCATTATAGGTATGTCAGGTATGTTAAGAAAGGCCAAAATTTCTAATTTCTTATTTAAGCTAATCGAAGACAATCAGCTATATTTACCTACACTACTACATAACTAGGTAAGTGATGGTCGAATACTTGCTACAAAAAGTAAGATTTAACTCACCTGAAAGATAGCTGTGGACAGTTCACTGCTCGCCTCTCCTACAAAGCTGGTGTCCTTGGGCTGGTTGGAGCGACCATTGCGAAGCCATCTTGCACTACTTAGTCCCACCACAAACAAAACTGGAAAAAAGAAAATAGTGAGTTAGAACGAGTTTAAGCAAAATACTTAGAAAAAATAATAATTTATATATTATTCTTTCAGTTAAAGTTACGAGTATTCCTCGCATTTAGTTACGAAGGGTTTTATTGAATTTATTTTATTACTAGGTCTATGTAATGTCCTAGTAGCAAAAATAATATGTATCTTATGTCGTGTATGCACTCGCAACTCAATTTTATTTTTTTATCTAGTTACCTATATCTATTTATATGTGTAGCAACAAATAAACATGCAAAACGATTACTTTAAAATCTTGTCCCCTTTGTTCTACCTTAATATGAAAATATAACGGACAATCAAAATACCATCAGTCATTAACAAAGACAACACCTAATCCAGTCCTTGTAGGCATAACTAAGCAAATATTTGCCACATTAACCTCCTTTACAGGTTTCTAGTAAATTAATGTCCTTAATAATGACTCGATTGCTTCTCGATGTAACTGTTCCGGACGATATCGATTCGAGACTGGTTCTCGAGACATCTCGAGATTGTGGGTCGAGTGTAGCGGTATCGATGCATGTTGCATGGATGTCGAACTGTTAGTTGCAGGATCATTTATTTATAGACCTTAAGCCCTGGTTTACATTGACTTTAAATGGTGTCCAGTTGTTAAGCTGGTTTTAGTAACACGTATTTTTAACGAAAGTAGTAATCAAAATCAAATGCTAGATTGCCGTTAGGCTATGGCCCTAATAAACTTATGTAGTAGGACATAAGTTCTTCGTATTTTCATACTTGATAGGCACTATTCAGGTAGGTTGAAGATCACAATTTAAAAGAATCAGGTTTATCAAAGAGCGTTGCTGACTGTTGAATACCTACGGTGTAAGAAAGTTATGATAAATGGAAATTAGAATAGTTACTGGCATATAGTCACACACGATAAGATGTCATCACATCTATCTTAATTACACATCACACCTAAGGCATTGTAAGTAATATTAAGACTAATTTTAAACTACAATACAGCGTACTGATTATTTGTCAAAAACATATCAGCTTTCTATTCTAGTTCTAAAACTACTTAGATTTGGTATAATAATAATCTCTGAATATTGAGTTTCTTTTGTTTAATTTAGGTTGTTGCGGTGGCCGGGAGGGTTCAAAACCTGGCAAGCAAGTAGCTTGTGACATTTTCCAAGTTATGTGTACTTTCTAAGATTATTTAGACGACTGATCTAACGATCGTGAGGAAACGCGGACTAATACTTTCTCATGAATTTTGAATATCGTCAATTCGCCTTGCCTTAATTAATGGTCATACTGAGCTGCGCTAACAGGAGATAGAAAGGGCGTTCTAATACTTTTTGCTGAACTGCCAATAATAAAATATGTTATTCTAACAAAGCCCATTTTTATGTTTTCTCCTAGAAATTTATTGTCCATAAAATATTCAGCCGCATGACAGTGAGATCTAAGACCTTGACCGTCGATTTCAAATCATAAGTTGTAAAGTTTAGAGTTGAAGTTTACACTGAAGTCATCCGCAGAAATAAGTGATGTTCCAATAAATATATGACTCTTGTACATTTCACAATGTAGGTAAGTATTGGATTTTGTGAAAGCGATTTCTTCGTTCTCCGTCGTCGTGAGAGTTTCCATTTTATTGTTGACGTGAAATTTATTCGCGATGCATGCATTAAATTAGAATTTTACACCTTGCCAATAGATATGTTTGTCTGATTCCTTGCTAAGAATAGAAAATTAATTCTAAAATATTCTTGTTTTGATGCCCAATTCATTTAAATACCTAATTTTCTACGTTTTACCCGTCTTGGCTCGTTCGTTTTACAATCATACCTACAATGAATTAATACACGTTTGTAAAAATATTCAAATTGAAATTTACACATAAATCAGCTCTTTATTTACTAATTAAACGCATAATTTTTAGAATGTTGGTTAGCTCGTAACTGGCTAATGTATATGACCTACTGCCTATAACCAATACTTTAAACCACTTTGTATACATAAGCTGTGAGCCTACCTTATAAGAAATAAATAAATACTTGATTGATATCATTTTATCAAACACTTGTTAGTACCTAAGTGTAAATAAAATGGTTTCCGTAAGAGCAGAACAATCGCAGTAATTACATCCGACAAACGCATGCGATTATGCGCAGATTAGCGGCACGGAGCGATGCGCCGGCGCACCCGTCACGGTTGAGATCCGAATGCAACGATACAACGGTATGTACGGTGTAATAATGATATCTCTGCACTGATACCTCTATTTAATAGCGTGAAGAAAGATAACATAATCTAACATTATAGATGTTTTCACCATTGCAGGTGGGTAGTCTTTTTTAATTATAATTAATTTTCATTTACCAATGAATTTTCACTTAAACGAAATCGAATTATAATTATATTTTCTCCAATGAATGCGTTAATAAGGCAAAATAATACATATGTAACATAATCAGAGTACAAATAATTGATGTTTTAAAAAATGTGCCTAATTACAAAAATCGATCCTAAATGGGTTTCCATAAAGACTACATTTGGCAGATACTTTAAGTAAGTTGACAATATGTATTTGTTAACATTGCAAACACACAGACATAAGAATTCACAAAACAATAGAAACATTCTCAACATATTCAAAGCCAGCAAGCAATGGTTATTTAAAAATAATTCTTAAACGACCTGTGTTTACCTCCTTGGAACATTGGGTACTTCGTTGTAAAGACTAAGGTACAAAGCATGGGAATGGCATGCGCTTGCGATTGCTCGAATGTCAGGTAAAGTAAAGCACAGAGCGGTGAACGTACTTTGCTGACCCTACCCCATTGTGCTGGGTACCGTCAGCAAACACAGCGATGACAGAATGACTCACACTTAGCACGCATTAGCACTGATATGATTATCATTTCTAAACGGTTTTTAAATGTCAATGGCTGCTACATGTCCGTCATTAAACCTATGCTTGGTGACATAATGTTCCCGTTAAGGGGCGATAGTCGTTTCTTTTGTGGTTTTAATCTTTTCGAGAACCTTGAAGATGAATGTTTAACAGACTTAGCTCAATTCATATAGATATATAGATACTGCAAACATCAACAAGCTATATATTGGATATATCTATCTACACTACATAACATATTGTTAAGTAAGCAAACCAATAGAATTTCATAATTCTGTATTAATATTTTTTTATATGTTGGTCCTTGGGTTCACATTTTTCTTTCCTTCCTAATAATATTTCCTAGACAAAAATTGTTTTTGCGCAAGCTGTACCCAGCTCTCTAAGTGCATACCTCTCTCGAAAGTAATCACAGCGAGCCACAGAGTAAAATAATAAAGTCTGTTGTAATACTTAAGTAGGTACATACTTGTATAATTGTGAATATAACTACATGTGACTGGCCACTCACATTACTATATAAATTCCAAGCTTTGCGAGACAATGTGCCGACAACAGCACTTCAAGATACTCCAATCTTTTAAATCTTTTATTGATTTTCACCCTTATTCCTTTGTGGTAAAGTTAGAAGTCTGTTGCAGAGTTTTGACCTTTTCTGGTACCTTATCGTGGTATGTCCGAAGTTCCGAACCTACGCAAAGAAATAAAATCCTATTTTACTTGTTTGATAGTTTTTTTTTTGCGTAGGGATCGTTAAACTAGAGGTTTTAAAAGGTCAAGATGTGCACTTAAATACCATATTTCATGCTTTTTACTATAATGTAGAAAAAAGCTATAATCATGTTTTTGTAAAGAATTTCAATAAGCTAGTTTTTTTAAGACGATATTTACTTTATGGGTTTATTAGTGCTTTTGCCGACTCCCAATAAAAATAATCTTTATGGAATTGTGATTTTAAAAACGATTGACTTAAAAGCTCTAATATTGCAGTGTATTTTATATAGCAACTGCACTCATAACAGTAGCTGTGCCATAATGTCCAATGTTTAGAGCCAACCTTTGGACCAACTTATGAGGCCAACATGGACCGTTATAATGAGTTGTAGGACTGTGCATTACCAGCATTCTCTAGAAAATGCAGCTATTCGTAATTTATATTCAAAATATCTCAAATGGAAATCCTAACATGTCCACAGCTCGTAAAATCTTAGCATGCAACGATAGGGCAGGTAGATGGATAATTAATAATGTATTTCACACGAATACATCAAATAATAATAATGCCTTATTATTAAGATTTCTGTGGTACAATCATTATCGCCAGGTAACTTATAACTCCAAAAGGAAAAAGAAAAGTAGGTAAGATAATTTTTATTTTACAAAACACCGAGTGGCTCATCTATACTAATATTATAAAGAGGTAAAATTTGTAAGTTTTTTTGTTTGTAAGTTTGTATGTAGGGGGTAATCTTTGGAACCGCTGATTGGATTGCCAAAATTCTTTCACTGATAGATAGCTACTATGTTCCTGAGTGCTATAGGCTATCATCATCATCACGCTAGGATTAAACGGAGTCGAGCAGCGGGTGAATTCAAATTCAAATTCAAATTCAAAAGTGTTTATTTGCAAGAATTACATTGTTTAATAAGGAAAGGTCTTATATCCTAAAAGTCACTGCATTCAGCCTGCAAGCAAGCGTGCAAATTATTTATAATTATGTCATTAAATTATCTATGTCATGCAATTAATTTGTTATTATCATAATTATACAATATTAATAAATTCGATTAATGTAAGAATCTAATAAAAAAAAATCCACTTAATATAATTATTTTATACAATTTTATCGTCCACATAATTTTACTAATTAAAGCTACGTTTATTTCCGAATTCTATAAATTCCTTAATACTATAAAAACAGTTTTTTTGTAACCACTGTGTCAATTGTATTTTAAATAGATTACCATGTAACAATTTCAGTTCATTTGGGAGGTTATTATAAATCCAAATACACATATTACACACATTTTTCTTATAGATATCTTTATGAACAGGCGGTTGATACAGTAGGTTATTAAATTTAGCCT